GTCAAGCGACAAAAGGCTCTGCTTGACCTGGTTGTGATTTAAAAATACTTTTTAAACATAAATTACTAAATGATTATTTTATTTTTACATTTTTATTTAAACTATTTTTAGGGTTAAACTGCTTAATAAATAAATGAATTAAAAAAAAAATGGCGTCCAAAAAAAAGGTTTCCTTCACGAAAAGTACAGTTAATATAATTTTTTTAAATAATCAACATACGTCTTACGTATTATAATTACCTTTGCTAAATATATCCAAGTTTTATCAGAGTTAAAGGGAAAAAATAACTGTTTCGTAGGAAGGTCTAAAAACTTGTCATTTTCACAATTCGTATAAGAATGGCATAATTACGTTAATAAAAGACATTATATATTTTCAAAAGACATCATACATATTTAATGTGTGATTTGATCAGAGGAAAATCTTATAAAGTTTACATTTGTTTTAATTATCAATTTTGGACGTGCAGGGGGGGGGGGTTGACAAACCGAACATTGGTGAGGGCGTAGAAAAGTCAAGCGACAAACGGCTCTGCTTGACCTGGTTTATCAATATTCAGTTGGTTGAAATATTTTATTTTAAATTTTAACCTGCTATAACTTTCTTCAGATAAATTACAAATTTAATTACCTCTTTGATCTACTTTAAAAACAAAATAAAAAATTCCATCGAATTTATTTTGAAATTGTTTTCTACTAGATTCTCATCATGCAAAATTAAAATTTAAAAATGCGTGCAAATAAATAGGTGAGGCAGATTGTTTAATATTCTGATATTAAAAAGGGTCTAAACTGAGCCGAGTGGTCTAAACTGAGTAAATCTCAAGTTGATGGTCTGGAGTTCAATCCCAGCCAAAGCCCAGCCTAGCAAAAACATCACTGGGTGGATGGGGCTCATTAACCTTGGATGAGAAGGAAACTCTGAATTCAAACCTGGAGATGGAGTCCCGTAGGTAAATAACAATGAAACATTCCAACAACTCCTGCGACGCCCATGAGTTATTCAGCGGCGTGGAGAGAGGCGATTTGCGAAGTCCACACCATCGTCACACTGTGACATAGTTGGGCTTTCAATATATATGTATATATATTTATTTAAGTGCAAGTATTTAAATTTCTTATCAGCTATTTTATGGAACTAAGCCACACAAGTAGCAAATTTCGTTTAAAAAACAATAGATGAAACTTGCACGGTCCATTATAGTATTAATTTATGTTTTTATAAATATCAATTTCTTAAAGTTTTCATTTTATTTATTTATTTATTTAGGCATTTTTATATAGCGCTTATCATAAAGCTCTAAGCGCTTTACAATTATTAAAACATGTAAACTAAGTAAATACAAATGAGACACTAGGATAGTAACTACTATTCTATAGAAACAATGAAAATGGCTATAAAAAGAGGACACTTTGACACTTCAGGATTAAACCGAAACAGAAAATTAGGTAGGGCAAGGAGGGTGCATCACAGGTCATAGGCGGACCTAAACAGATGAGTTTTAAGGGACTTTTTGAAAATGGACGAGGTTTCACTATGACGTATATGGAAGGGGAGCTGGTTCCAGAACGTGGGCCCATGGAAGCAGAAGGAGCGTTCACCGATGGTCTTAGTTTTAGTTCTTGGGATTGAGAGGGTTCTACTGTCAATGGAAGAACGTAGTTGTCTTGTGGGGATGTAAGGAAGCAACAGTTCAGAGAGATAGACAGGAAAGTGAGGGTCAGTGAACGAGTTGAAGCAAAGATTGGAAGACTTGTATTTGATGCGAGAGGATATTGGAAGCCAGTGGAGTTGCCGCATGTGTGGTTGAATGTGGTCATGTTTCTTTAATTTAAAAATGAGTCTGCATGCTGAGTTCTGTGCCTTCTGAAGTTTTTCTATGTGGTGTTGAGGAATGCCTGAGAGAAGAATGTTACAGTAGTCAAATTTTGAAAGAATGAGTGAAGAGACGAGAGTTTTTGTGGCATCAAAGGAGAGGAGGTGTCTAATGGTGCTGATTTTTCTAATTTCGTTATATGCTGATCTGCATATATTCGTGACATGTTTGTCCATGGAGAGGGTGTCCGTAAGCGTGACTCCAAGGTTTCTGGCAGAGGGAGAGAGTGTGATGTCAGAGTTGCCAATAGATATAGAAGAAGGAGCGAATGGAGGGAGAGGTTTGTTTTGAGAGTGGATGAGAAGGATTTCCGTTTTATCATCATTTAGCTTCAGTTTGTTGCAAGTCATCCAACGCTTTACATCGTCCACGCACTCCTGTATGCGAAGGATTGTGGCATCAAGTTGATCAGGAAAGCAAGAGTCACTGATTTGAGTGTCATCAGCAAAGGATTGACTGGAAACTGAGTGGTGGCTAATGAGAGATGATAGAGGTTTAGTGTAGAGGATGAAAAGGACCGGCCCAAGGACCGATCCTTGAGGAACTCCAATAGACAGGGCTGAAGGTTTGGAAGAGCGGTTGGAAATAGAGACTTTTTGAGTTCTGTCAGAAAGATATGATTGAAACCAGTTTAAAGCTGAGCCAGTAAGTCCGAAAGAAAGATGAAGGCGGTCAAGAAGAATCTGGTGGTCAATGGTATCAAATGCAGCAGAGAGATCTAACAGAGTGAGAATAGAGAGTTTGCCATCGTCCATCGCGCGCAGGAGGTCACTCATGACTCTGACCAGTGCTGTTTCTGTGCTATGACCAAGTCTAGCTGAACGTTCATAGAGTACGTTTAAAATTATGCTAATAACTATATTTCTTAAACATGATTTTTTGGGAGCCTATACAATTAATAATTAACACGCTATCTTACTTTAAAAGCAATGATTCTATGAGTCTGTGCTGAAATATAATTTGAAAACAGATTGCCAGTGTTTAATACTTAGCAAGAACTATATCTCAATTATAGACCTCTTTATTGATGTAAAGCTAGTTTAATTATTAATAAAGTGTTATTAAGGTCTTTAAACTTGTGAATTTGCACATACAAAATTAATTAAAATATCAAAAAACGCGAACAAGAAGGAAACATTAATTCGGTTTATAATGAGGCCCGGTCAATTTTCAAAACAATACGATACTTCAAATCCAAATCTGTAAACTTGTAACGAAATAGCCATACAAATACAGATCATCAAATATATCGAGCATAGCAATTTTTCATTGGTTCCAGTAATAAACATTGTACTCGGTGAAAGGCACAAGTGGCTCTTCTTTTTACAAATGTTATAAAAATTACTACAATTTAGTGGGTTTTAAAAAAAAATATATATATATATATTTTCACTTATAGTTGTATAGATTTTTCTCAGGGTGGGGTGCACAGACTTTCTTTTCGCAATGCAATTTAAGAAATTTAAAAATATTTAAACATTTTGAACACAATCACTACAAATGAGTCTTTTGTCCCAAAATACTAGCAATGTTTGAAAATCAAAACTAAACATGAAATATACAGCGGCCTCATGTTTGTTTCACTGGCCTCATTTGTATTTTCTATCATGTCCTGGAGGAATTGTAGTATTTTTTCAAAGTACTTGTTGACAGGGTTTACTGCATCGGTCCTTTCATTCCATCTAGTTTCATTCCATGACTTTACAACCACGGGGATAGCATATTTTTAGTTTCTTCCAACGCTGTGTTGAACGTGAGAAAAACACGTTGAAGGCTTGAATGGTTTCAAAAAAGTCACCTCATTGGTCCCTGCTTAGCTGCATGTACACCTACCAAATTGAGAGAATGATTATCACAACTTAAATGCCCAACCAACTTTAAATTTATTTTTTGTTATCGCATATCATTTGTTGGAAACCACTTCTGTGTCCAGCCACCGTCACCACAGCAGCGTAGCACTGTGGTCGAAATCATCTAACTCCATTTCATATTAATCTAACTGGTTCAAGGTGTCTTGAAGAACTCTTTAACACAAACCTCTTTTCCTCTCAAAATCAACGTCAGCGCACCTCACTAACTCTAGCGTCTGCTCATTCCCCTGGAGCAAAAATATTTCCAACAATAAATCAACCGGCACTTCCCCCCCCCCCCGAAAAATCCTAGTCCCCCCCCCCCCCCAAAAAAACCGAGGTGCCCCCCCCCCCCCACGGGGGAAATTTCTGAAATAATCACTGCTCATGGTGTGCTTGATCAAAAGTCTGGTCCAACTTAATAACATAGTAATTGGCTCTACGAATGCTTCTCAGTAAATTCTGTCAAACAGTGGTGCCATCAGGTGGATGAATTCATTCTGCAAACAAGGGGAGAGATACGAATTGAATCCAGCACTGTCTTTTATATATAGGCCTATCAAGTGTTCTTTTATGAGAGGGTAAAAATAAAACAGCCATAAGTTTCAATAAAAGAAAATTTCCCACATTGGAGCTATGATAGTCTTGCTGAAGTGATTCTGTGTCCACGCAAAGCTAGACTTTGAGTTACAAGGAATTTTATGCAGCGGATGATTCTATTCAAGATATCACGGAAACCTTCGTCGAACAAACAACAGTAAAAATAAAAACAATATAAAACTAATATTTAAAAAAAAACATTTAGATGCAATGCAGTATCCGAAAGGACGGTAGGTGGGCTGATTACCATTTTACTTTTCAATATGTATTGAAGTGCCATGTCAATAATTCTGTTAGCAACTAAATTTCTCTCCATTTATGTATTGTGGCAACCCCCTACCCCCATGGCCATGGCATGGACAATTCACCAAAATGAATATCATTGTCATTGTGATCCTCCGGTTAAAACGTTGCAACTTAAACTAACAAAAATTTTTCAAATAAATATTTTTTGCAGCCCTCTTTAAGTGGCACCCATGGCATCTACCATACCCTAGGTACACCGCGAAAAAATACTAACGCATATGAATATGACTGAAAACATTTCGAATTTTCTCAAAGTTTTTTTTTCTACAACTATTTTGTTTTGTTGCTTTAAGGTTAGACTTTTTAAATAAAAAGAACTCTTTACTGTTCTTGAACAGAGTCTGACCTAGAAATATAACAGTATCAACAAAAGAGTTCGTGTTATTTTCGCGAGATGCTGTGTTCAGCAAGTTTTATTCGATTTCTTAATGATCCTTTATCAGTAAATTAGTTTTTGGTAGTACCAATGAAACGATCAACCATGAAATCAAATATCGCTCTACAATCAAGGTGTCGACCAGAAGGTAGATTGTTTCCCAGAAGAAAAGTAGCATCGAAGACATCTCTTCTCAATGGCGTTGGTGATTTTGATATGGAGTTATCGCTCGCCATCAAAGAAAGTTTGAAATACGCCCAGCAAGAAAGAGGGGATGATCTAAGGGAAAATGGATTATATGTTTCTAATGGACCTAGTCAGAATGAAAACAATCATGATTCATCGTCAGCATTAGGCAGCAGTGCAGAACTATCGCGAACTTTTTACAAAGCAGTCAACAGCAAATCTCTTACTGCTGCTGGTGCTATGGCTGCGTCTGCTTCTGACTTAGTCAGTGAGGAAGTGGGTCGCTTAAAAGATTTAATATTGAGCCAGGCAGAGCTCATTCAGTGTCAACAGGATGAAATTTCAAAGAAAGACAAAGAAATAAAAGCAATCCGTTCGGCAAATGATGCGGTAATGCTTTTACATATTCATATTTGTGGGGAATGGAGGGAGGAATTCAATTTGAAGGACTTGTTAAGTTTTATTTAGCATCCAAATCACGTGACTTGTCATGTGATGAACTAAAAGCTCAGACGCGTATGAAACGATTGGTAGTAGATAGTGGCCATTTTTAGCCCCTGTAGTGTTTGTGTACAGATGAGTGTGGTGTTACACGCCGGTTGCTCTTTTAATTATGCATCATTAGTTATAATTTAGCACAAAAATGAAGAATATATTGAAATGTTTTAATGAATTTCTGCTCATTTAATTTTTAAAATATTATGGTTAAATTTGACTATGATTGAAATGAAGATAGCTTTGACTTTGTTTGAGTCAAAGTTTAGTTTTTTTTTATTTACTACCGCCAAACCGATTTTACCGAAATTAATACTGAATGATGAATCATTTGAATTTAAATGAATTTGGGCTAATTTGGAGAGATGAGCCCCTGACGTCATTTGCTTGTTTTGTTTTGGATTCACTCCCAATGCCAAAAAAGCTAAAATTGTAAACAAAGTTCAAACAAAAGTCCTTAGTCCTTAATTAGGCTTAGGCTAACATAATATTAATGAAATATTGACTGCTAAATAAAAATAATTGTATTATGTACTATAGTATATAGTGTGATAAGCTCTCACCTGTCACAGTAACTTTGATACAATTTTTAAATGGAATGAATTTGAATAAAGAAATTTTCGCAATCCTCCTAAGTCCGGCCTGAAATTATTTCGTATGTAGAAAATTGCAATGCACAGTGTGTATTGTTAGAAAACAACAGAAATTTCAGTCAAAGCTTTTGCAAAATAACTGTCACTTTACAAACTAGTCAGTAAATACTAAAGTAAATGTTGTAATTGGCGCATAGCATTTGCAAGGAGCAGCCGAAAACATTATGCTTGTGACTGATGCGCAACTAAAAGGCCCCCAAGTAGCTGGCAAACAGACCGTGACTAGTACCACTCTGATAGCGGAGTTTACGTTTCGCTTGCATCCAAAGTCTTTCAATAGTTTATGTGTGAATGTCCTGGTCAACTGGATCAACAAATTCATGCCCATGCACAATAACAGCGTGAGCATAAATCCCGTTGTTGAGCTGACCGACATTTTGATATCCTTGCCAAGCGTCCGTGACTATAGTTGTCCCTGGTAACAAATGATTAGTGATAATGCACTCGAGTGTTTGTGCATCTCGATGGCCAACAACCTCCATTCAATGTATTTTATTTTGTCATATAAAATATATTGAATAGACATTTAAATAACACTTGCTGACTGTACAGTTTTTGCTAAGAATATTAGAAGAAACAGATTTGTAATTATTTTTACTGGTACTACTCAAAGTAGTTATTATTGTAAGGAACCCAAATTTTGAAGTATACTAGCTACCTGTTTATTACATAGGTACCAGTTGAACCTCGCTCACATTCTAATCTGTGTTAAGATGGCAATCATAGAACACCAATCAAAACATTAGGCAAAAAGTCATTTTGAACTTAAATCCCATTGATCTATTTTTTAAAATATTGTTTGCACATGACACAAAAAATTAATTAAAGGACAAAATAAGGCTTAAATCCCATTTATCTGCCTTATTTTGTCCTTTAATTAATTTTTTGTGTCATGTGCAAACAATATTTTAAAAAATAATAATAATTCCCCATATATATTACATTATTGCAATTTAAGATTTAACACTATTGCTATTTTAATTAAGGACCAACTTCTGAGGAAAGAGATATAAAGAAAATAAAGAATTAATGAGGCTTTGCAAAAAATTCAAATTAACTAAGCCTAATAAGATTTGAATAATTAAAAAATGGTTTTAATTAATATCTAATTCCTATGAATCTACAAACTCAAATTATTATTTTTAATGGCATTATACAAAATACAAAGCCATATTATAATTTTTAATGTTTAGTTTTTATTCCTGAACAAACTGCTGAAATATTGGACTAGAAACTGGACAAAATAAAACTGACACCCTCAACCGTATGTAGAACTAATTTTGGTGTCAAAATGCCAAAATTAAACATGTATTTTGTCAATAGACAAGTGATATACCACTGAATACCAGTATTAAAAATTACTACTGTTCTATTAAAATCTACTTTTCATTATTATATTAAAAAAATCATTTTAAGACTGATTAATGTTGCAAAGACCACAAAGGAATAGGTTAATTTTTGTTTGTGGGGGCATAATTATGAAATATTATAATCAGGGATTTTTCCCTGTTATTTATTGATTAAAAAAATATCTTCGTTAAATTTCAATATTCTCTTCATAAAGGTAGTGCTACATTCGTATTTTATTCCATTTTAACTTAAATTAATTCATTAAAAAAAAATTCATTCTATCTTTACAATTCAGAGTAGTTTATACCTGTACTTGGTACAAAGTTTAAATTATTAACTGAAGTTAAATCAATATAAGTGAAGGAAAATGAAAGTGATACATTCACTGGGAAAATATCTAATTGAACAGGTAAAGCATTAATTTTATTTAATAATTAAATGACAAAATTAAATTGCATATTTCCCTTCTCTTAATTGAAAATTCCTTTTCCTATCCTTTTCCAGTTACCCTAACTTTACTTTAATGTCAATGCTACTTAACATTCATAATGCAAATAGTTAAAAATGTTAAACTCACCAAATCATTAAATATTTGTTGCATGTATTTGGTTACCAGTAGTTACATTTTAGAAATGTATACCCGGTAATCAAAGTGTTTTATTCACAGCCAAAATGCATAACCACCATAACTTGTTCTAATTTTGACTTTTGAGGGGAAATATTTCAGGGGAATAAGTGGGGCGGTTGGCTGATGAGTTGGTCATATGTGATTTTAATAAATTTTTCTAGGTAGAGTAATTCAAAAAAAGTCACACTAATGCTGGACTCATATTTGATGCCATTTACAAGATTGCAATAATACAATCTGCACTTAAGCAAACTTGTTAATTGATATCTATGTCTGTAGTTGAGTACCCGCTTGAAAAGTCAAGGCGACCACGAATTTCTTTCCAAGTGGTAGTCATTTATTTTCTGAAATGTTCTGTATGGTTAGACTGTCTTTAAAGGTTTTTTATTTGTTTCGTTAAGTACTTTACTTACACAAAAATTGTTGCTAAAAGTCTAAGTTAAAAAAAATATATATATTCTTTAGTACCGTATTGCTTTACTCCAGCAAATTATTTTATGGGATTGGGATATGAGCCGGTTATGTACTATTAAGGTTTTTTCCAGTGTATTAGCAAACACACTTTATTATGAGCATATGCAACCTGTTCTCTCTGTCCGAACACATCTCAATTTCTCTCTCTCCCAACACATCTCATTTTCTATCTATCCCAACACATCTCAATTTCTATAACAGGACTTAACTTTAAGGGAGTACTTATCATCTTAACTTGGTTGTTGTGTTGCTATAAATTTTAAATCTACTGATTTTATATTCAACAGTTACAATGCCGACTGGAGCAAATGGAACGACAGATGTCCTCCCTAAAGCACAAAGAGGAGTCACCTGATGCACAGGGAACACTTTCAGAAGATAATGCCATGAAATCTGTCATTCCTTCTCACTCAACACTAACGAAAGGGTAAAAAAAATTAATTTCTATCAATATTCAATCTAAACTAATTGCTAATTAGAAAATAAATATTTAGAGTATAGCAGCAAAGAAACACCCTTAAAGCTTTAAAAAAAATTTAAATTTTAGATTATATTATCATGGAAAAAAAAAAGCTAACTAACATATATTAACAACTACCTTTATCTTAGACATTTTGAAAACCAATTTCATTTCAAATATATCAAACTTCGGAAAGTAAGAAATGATTTTTAATTAGATTTGAATAGCCAAATGGATAATTTTTTTTGTTTTGAAGGTTTAATTTCATTTTTTAAAACTGTTTCTCTTTATTTTTTTTGTCTTTTGTAATGAATGCCTGTTATGTTTCTCATGCAGGCCTAATGACATGTTAAAAGTAGAATACCGAAAGAGACGACGGCATACATTTAGGTTCATCCAGAAAAAGAGCCCTAAAAAACAAAGACTTTTGCAACTTCATGAAACTAAGGGATCGTGCTCACAAAAAGAACTTGGTGAAAGTGAGGATGGTGATGAAGAAGAGGATAATTCAACTAATTCAGACTCTGAAGAAGATGAAGAGGATAGTGAAGACAATTCAAAAGACTCGGGAACACAGAAAGAAGAAGCTGATAAAAGCAATAAAGGCAAAAGTGGCTCTGAGCATGAAGAAAAGACTATTGATTATCAAATCATGCAAACAGAAACCCTCTACCACCTTTATTACCCTAAGCATGCTTGTCCTAGCCCAGATACAAAAAGAATACAAGAACAAAGTGAAGGTATTATTTTTTTCCCCTTATATTAATGATAATGTTTTAAAAATGTTTTAAAAATGTTTAATAATTATTTTGACAAAATTGTGGAAGCAGAAATCTTTTTGAATGTGAAATTCCAGTTCTGGAGGATTTAACTGTCAACATCTTAAATGACTCAGGATGACACATTAGTATTACAAAAACTTGTTATTAATTCATGAAGATGACATATTGTCAATACACACAAAAACCTAAATTCCCTCATTTCCCTGCACTCATCACACAAAACAAGAAGTATAAGACTTTGTTATTTAATCTTGTGAAAATTTAAGAAGCTAATCAGATGTAGTACATAAGGGTTACGTGCAGTGCATTGACCACCGTTTTTAAATCCTCTATCCTAACTTTGCTTTTTTTCTTCGGCCTGTTGGAAATCTTCTAACAGCTAATTGACCCACTTCCCATCAACCTATCAAGCTGAAACAGAGACTCATTGCAAATGACAATACAATATAAATTTTCAGCCCCACACTGTAACCCCCAAAAATCAGTTTTTCCTGTTTTTCAAGGGAAAGAAAAAAATAAAATTCCTGATACCTGCACTAAATGAGATTCTTTTAAAAAAAAATATTGAAGTGCATTTGATGTGTAATATTTTCGTTTGTTTTTCTAAAATTGTTGGTGAAATCAATTTTCCTGATATTTCTGGATAAAATAAATTTAGGTGCAGAAGCGTTACTCTACAAAATTGAGGAGGTGGGGGGAGATGTGTGTTATGTTAGATTTTATGTGTTAAATTTAATCAAAACAATCAAATTTAACATTTTGTTCAAATATTTACCCCCTGCTATTTAGTGGAAACACCATCATGGCGACTGAAGCCTATGACTAACATGTATCAGTTGGAGGGCACAGAGGTAATCTTTATTATATTTGTAGTTATTAATACATAAGATGGGTATCTTTATTATTTATCTTGATTTATTGTAAAAGAAAGAAATTTGATAAATTATCTTTATAAATTTGTCTATGAGTATGATTTATGTGTCAAAGTAACTCTTATAAAAATTATAATATAACTTAGAAAGGATGATACTCTGTGTTAATGGCACTAAAATGTACCATGTACTTGATCTGACTAGAATATAACAGATGAAGCTTATAACAAAAGACATCAAAAGTTTGAAATGGAAGAAAAGCGACGAAAAAGGTAAGTTATAACATAAATACATTATAACACTAATAACAGTAAATTTTCACTTAGCTTAAAATATAGAATCAACAGATTTTGTCAGATTTTTAAAAACTGAACTTTTGGAAATAAAAAACATTAATGATATTGGAAATTTTTAAAGAAAAAGCTATATAATATTGCAATTGATACTAACAGATGGGATCTCCAAAGACTCAGAGAGTTGCGGCTCTTAGAAAAGTTACAGAGACAGAGAGAAGATGAAATAAGAGCCAGTCAAGATGAGGCTGATGTTGAAACATTTTTACCATCTGTTCATGATTGTAAGTAGTGGCAATATTCTCTGGACCTGTTCAAAAGTCCATTTTTTGTGAAAATGTTTAAATTTCACAAAATGTAAACTTGAATTTGTGGTTTATGAGTGGAAATTTCAAAAGTAGTTTAACTTTTAGCCAGTTTGCTGAAGACAGCATTGTAAATTATTTTAAAGGCTTTATTTTATATTTAGAACTCTCTCAAAAATTGCTTCTTCTTTGAATCTTACCAACTTTTGCACATTTTGATAAAAGCAATCAAGTGGGAATTTACACTTTGATTAATAATTATAATCACATTAAGTCTCATAATGTCTATTATAAATCATGTTATTCAATTTAACCAATTTTTCCTCCTTAGTGAAGCACATTGAAATTACAGAATCAATACCAGTAATGGCTTTTGGGCAGCCAGTACCTTATGTCTCTCCAGCGTAAGCACTTACAATATTAGTAATTTAGTATGTCAGAAATAGGTGTTGAAATCTCAAGATTTATTTCATTAGTAAGGATTTAAAGAGTGCTGTAAATTTTTTTATTCAAATCTTAATACATAAAAAATGAATAAATTGCAATATTAGAATTTATAGGTAATTATTTTCTTTTACAGTGAATTTGAAATCCCTTGGGAAATAACTAGCTCAGGACCAATGGCAACTAAAAATCGACAGCGGACTATTAGTGTGCATTCCAAGAAGCACTGACATTGCAAATCAGTTATGTATGTTTTGTACTCATTAATCAAGCATATGTTTTTAATGACCAAACTCTATCCATCATACGGGTATACCTGATTTATGCTGTTCAGTTCTCAGTGCATAAAATCAAAGCTTTTCATAAGCTTGAATGGATCAGGGTTATATGGTCATATAAAATTTAAGGAATCATAAGATTTTTTTTTTTTCCTTGGGTCTTTACTTTGTAAGAAGATTAGAATTTAGCTGAAAATCTATCATTTACAATTATAGGTTGCTGGTTATTATAAGAATCATAACTCTTAAGAAAGTAAGGCTTTTCAAAAAATATTCTTGTTTTACCAGTTTAAAACTGCCAGATTATTCTAGTTTGGAATGAATAAGAATTTATAATCATGGAATTACCCAAATCCACATTTAATGTTCTTGAGATTATGTGAATAAAAGCAGTGTTTAAAAAAGTCAAACTCTAAAAAAAATGATTTCTCATTTTCTTCTTTACTATTTTAAAATTAGTTTATCAAATATGAGGTAAATTTTTCCATATTAATATATAAATTTAAGAGAAGATAAATACAAATCCCATTACTGTGTAATGAGTCATTATACTTCCTTCGTTTGAATACAAAAGTTTCATAGTAATTAATTTTCATTTTGAAACTTATTTAAAGAAAAATTTCAATTGTGTTTAACGAGAATTGTAAGTTTTTATCGAATGATCCTGCTATTGAATTTTATGTCCACTGTAATGTTTGTAATTATAGAATGGGTAAATAAGTACTCATGTGTAACCCATTAAGGTGCCGTCCATTAATTAGGTATTCAAATAAACACCTTCTTCATTAAATATAAATCCTTTCAACCTTCCACTTTCACTCTGTCAGTGAGGAATTTTTCATTTAAAACTTCGCAGTAAATTTCAGTTAAAATGCATTATAAAAGCAACAGAAGTATTTTTTAAGCAATTGATCAATAATAGCTTTCAGATTAATCTACCCTCAATACTTGTTTGCAAAAGTAAAATTTCATAAATTTTTATTTTCAATTGTATTTTCATAAAAAGATAACTTTATATCTAAAATTAAAAATTCAATTCTTTGAAATGCAAAATTATAAGCTGTATCCAAAATATTTAATACAATATAAAAATAAGTTAGCAATGACACTAACCATCACTTTTAATTTCATGTTCTCCGAAACCAATCATGATTTATTTAACTAATTTGCAATTTTTAGCAGTTGCAAATAATGATTTAAATTAAATTCACTTCATTTAACTTATTCATATTGTTTAATTGAAATTCCTATAACTAATTTTTTTATTACTGTCACCTACTGTATTTTGCAAATAAATTAAAAGCAACATTAGTAATATCAATGAAATTTTAAAAAAAACATACTGTATATTATTAAGTTTTAAGGTGAACAAAGTTTTACAAAATAAATTACCTTTTATTCTGAAATGCAAATTCAGCATTATTTCAACATTGTGTACTGGTATGTAGTTTATAAATGACAACCAAATATTTTTAAAGATATCAAGTTCATAAAAGGCTGAGATTGACAAGATGTTCAGGGCAAGTTACCGTCAAAAGTCATTTTAACCTAATAAAAGTTATTTATCTTTAGTTACCCCTTTAATTTTTATATACTGGTACCTACATTTTTAATAATATTAATATGGATGATCTACCTTTCCACTCTGTCAAATCAAATTTTAAGTTATTATTTTTGTGTTGACCTGTAATGTTCCTATTTTGTTAGGAAGAGAATGAATTGAAGTTTGGTATTGTAATGAATTTAATCATGATCTTTGGTTATAGATTTTTACCGTTATTTGAATTTTGGGCACTATAATTTTACAGACTTTGTTAAAACCATATCTTTAGCACACCTGTAACCAATATTTATTAATTTATTAGTAGATCCCCCTTATTTCAAATGGGCTTTTGTAATTTGTAATTAATTGCTTATTTGTTTTTGTCATTGAATCTATGGGTGAAGGATAATTGGTTAAGTTTGTATATTTAATTTTTCTGTAAACTGTACATATTGTCTTATTAGAGGTTTTTCACCATGAAACTTGTTCTAGGTTATACATTTACTGCTCCACATTATTCATGTTGATCATCCGAGATTTGTACAGATTGTTGTAATGAGTATAAACTTTTGTAAAATTAAAATTTATTGTAAATAAAACAAAGTTGTTTCACTTATTATTATGGTAAAGTACAGGGAGGACTGCCTTATGGTTGAAGCAATATGAGGGTAGAGGAAAACCTGAAGGACAATAAGCCAATAATAAACCTTAGACAGCAAAAAAAAAAATGACAGCTATAAACATTCTTAGATACGAAGTCTACAGACATGTTTACTATTACGATTTTGGTGTAAAATGTAGGATTTTGAGGTGTATACAGTATATATAATGGCTACCGGAAATTTGTTTGAAAGAAATTTCGTAGACTGAAAATTGATCGAACGGAAGTTTGGTAAAAAAAAATTTTTCAGTTCGATCAAACTTTTGTCAAATTTCTTTTATAATGCACTATACTATATAGTAAAACAAAATAATGTGTTCAAAAGAAAATTTGATGCAAAATTTTAACTTGTGAACTGAAAAAAAAGATTCGACCAAACTTCTGTAGATCAATTTTCTGTGAACAAAATTTCCGGATACGATATATAATTATATTGAACAATTTTGGGATGATATTGTAGGATTTAAAGAGTTTGAAGGTAAACAGGTCGGAGTCTGCAGGAAATGGTAGACTATTCATCTACTGAAGTGAACTAGGTTTTCTTGTATCTTTTTTATATATCTTATGAAAAATAAAAGAAATTCATTTCTCATACCGGCCGGGTACAAATGGTGTTCAGAAATGGTTAAAGTGTTTTCTTTTGACAGAAATTCACAAGTAATTTGGAATTTGATATTCCTTATATACAGTTGACAAAAGCCTCTCCATATTCATTAGCAGTTTCCATGTGTGTCACTCTCACAACCATTCAGCCAGCGTTTTGGGGTTTAGTGTGCATCACCAAATAATTTCTCTATAAAAAATTCTTTGTAATAACTTTTGTAGGAAAAATTTACCATGGCCCCAACAAAGCTTAAAATTAAAAGATGATAATATACCTTAAAGGAAAGCTGTAAGATTACAATTGAGTTAATAAAACAAAAAGCAAAGAAGTTACATGAAGACCTGTAGCCAAATGGCCTAAGAACCAGTGGTGAGTTTATGGCAAGTAGGGACTGGTTTGAAAAATTTCTAAAAAGAATGGTGAATTTAACTATGCAATGTGAGTCTCGAAATAAAGAAAATAGAAAGTGTTTTAGAAGCTGAAGATTACAGAACATATATAGACAAAAAATCTAAGATAAATTGGGGCTGGTAACTAATTAATTGAAAAATCACTTATTTCTTATGGGAAAAAGTTGGTATGTACATCTGATTCCATATTTGTCAGGCTGAGTAACGGCAAAAAATATAGAGCTTACCTGTACCAAAATATACAAATCATGGAAACTTGTTTTAAATATGTGACAAGAGAGTAATTCATAAATATACCAGTCTCTTGCAACATGTTCAATCAGAAATTTGACTGTAAGTATAATGCAATTTTATAAATGTGATGCCAAAAACATGGAAACCACTAATGAATGTAGAATTAGTATTGGTAAAGACAGTTTTCACTAAATTGGGCCTGGTCATCTCTGATCTACATATGATTAGTATGTAAATTAAAATCACTAATGGATAAATAGGACCCATTACAAATTTATTACAGTACCAATAATGAATGTTATATTTATTGAATATCATTTGATTAAAACTTCACAAAAAAAAAATTGTACAAAAATATTTTCACCACTTTGATTTGTTTATTGAACAATATCTATTTTGAAGTCTCCTTGCTACTTCTGTTTGTTGTAGTTAAACATTTTCAACTGATTATCAGCTCCTCCAGACAACATCAGGTCTGGAATAGACCAGTCCACTGCAAGAATTTTATCCTCTTGACCAATCAAATTATAAAGTGGTGCTTTTGGGCTAGGTAAAAATTTGGTTTTGAAGTAAAAAAAAATTCATATACTTTAAATTATGATAACATTCAAAAGGTGAGATATGCAATTTTCTAATAGCAAAAATGTTTGATTTGCTATTTCATTAGAATTTGTGTATATTTTATGAGGAGCATTTTAGAAGTGTATACAATAAATCAATAAGCATCATATACACATACTATTTCTATTTATCTCAGTTTTATAAACTTTTAAAAAAATTATTTATTTACCTTCTTGTATCCCAGAGCTTCATTAACATATCATGAGATCCAGAAATAAACATGTGCTCATTTGATTTTGACCAATCAACACTTGAAACCCACCCAGTATGTGATGTATATGTACCTTTCATTTCTGGTGATAAGAAAGAGTGGGGGGGAGAAAAAGTGATGGCTAAGAGATAAAAATAGACCTATAAGTTAATGATATGGTAACTGATAAAAGGAAAATATAATAATATTAATAAACCCTTTTACTTATAAAAATTCTGATTTCTTCACTTGTTGCTAAATTTATACTCAGTTGAAGGTTATTTTTATTAAAACAATAGTTAATTAGAAAAATAAAGCATGATTGTTGTGTAAAGTTCAAGTTTTTTTAGCATATATAATCCTTTTATTTAACTCATCATTCTAGACTACAATTTTTTTAACAATTTCAGAGGACATAAGCTTTTTTTAAAGCTATTCATATACCTTTCGTTCGAAGGTCATGCAGTCTCACATGTTTATCAGCTGATGCTGACACAATTAAGTTTGAGAGTGGAGAATGCGCTATAGAGAAAAATGCCTTTGATCCCTCCTGTAATATGATAAAAAAAATTATCAATTATATAATGTTCTACCTCACAGCTGGCCTGAAAATGAATATTTACGATAAATGCACATTAACTATAATAATAATGATTTCCGTAACAAGATAATATTTCAAACTTTATAATAAGGCGGTTTTAAAAAAAAAAGTTAAGTTCATAATTATGTCAATACCCACCACAACTTGTGTTTGCTCTGAGCGTGTCATGTCCCAAACACGTAATGTATGATCCCAAGAAGCTGTGCATACATTAGATTCATCCAACCAAGTTGCAGAAGACACAGCTTCTTTGTGACCTGACATAGTTACTAAAGGAATTCTAACAGACAACTTCTGACTTGTCCCTTTTAGCTTTTTCTTTTTTCTCAGATCCCCAGAGCTATCATCATTGCTATCTTCTGCCACTGTTGTTCCATCAACTACAAAATTAATATACACAAAATTTAGTTACCATATCTGCAGCTGTTTAAGGAAAAAACACAAGCAAATTATTTATTTAATACTTAATCACCACTGTAACCCCAATTTTTCAAAGACTTTATTTTCTTGCAGCTCTTGATTGTGGGATTCTATAAGCTAATCTATAAATTTTTGGGACCTATTTTTCGGCTGCCTGTAATTTTTTTATTTCCAGTAAATGTTGATTAGTAATCTTGCTGACTAGTAATCTTGAGCATTGGATGCTGAGTAGTAATCTTGAACATTGCATAAGTTATTCAAGATCAACAAAGGTCAGGTTTGCTATATACATTAAAAGTGTAGACATTTTTTAAATCTTCTCCACTTCCAATATTTAGTATCTAGCTTGATGAATCTACAGACATCGCAAACTGTTCAGTTACTGGTTTACGTGAGGTATATAAATCATAGCAAAAAAACTTTCAAGATGAGTTTCTTTTTTGAAAATCTCTTGAAACGAAAAATACTTCACTTGAGGTATTTGACACAGTTGGTTTATTTCTGAAAGAGCATAAGATCTCTTGGGAAAAGGTTTGCAGTGTTTGCACAGATAGTGTTCCTGCTATGTTAGGATGTCGATCTGGATTTCAACGTTTGGTAAAGAATGAGCCACCAAAAGTTATCATGACTCACTGTATGATACATCGGCAAATATTAGCAACGCTGCCACAAGAGTTGCAAGAAGTAATAAAAAGCGTCATAAGTTTTGTCAATTTTGTAAAGGCGAGCACTTTAAACAGTCAACTGTTTCCGCAACTGTGCAACGAGTTGGATGGGACAAACAATGCTCTGCTATTTCACACTGAAGTGTGATGGTTGTCTGGAGGAACAGATTTAAAACACGTTTTTGAGTTTTGTATGAACTCAAATGTTTTTTAATTAGAAAGCAAGACTGCAGTTTGAAGTACTTTTCAGCGATAAAAGTGACTGGAGAAAAAAGCTTACTTACTTTGCTATCTGGAATGAGATAAATTTATTACTGAAAGGACCAAATTCAACATGCCTTGCTTGCTTTGTCTAAAGACATCCGTTCATTCTAAATGAAACTTCAGCTTTGGGTGAAAACAAAATTTACATGCTGCCTACCTTATCTGCTTTCTTTGAAGAACATGACATTGAACCAGACAAAAGGATTACGATGATAATTTCTGTGAAAGAATACTTGCTCATGTTTGCAGATGAAATTTCATCATACTTTCCAAATCTACCTAACAACCCATTTGCACTTGCCAAAAGCCCATTCAAAGTCAAAAATGAATATGTTCCTGAGAGAGCACAAAAAGAGTTCATTGAAATTATTAACAGCGATGAAGCGACAACTGATTTCTCTACAATGCCAGTAACAAAATTCTGGATCAACTGTTTGCAGTCATATCCTGTTATGTCTGAGACTGTTTTGCACCTTCTTCTTCCCTTTACAACAACATATCTTTGTGAAACAGGGATTTTCAGTTTGTTGGTTATCAAGTATTAATACAGAAAAAGACTTGTGTTCTTGCAAAGACTGCCCCGAGAATTTCTGATCTGATGAGAAAGAAGCAATCTCTACCTTCGCACTGACATTGGCTTTTTACGCATGCTGTTGCAAAACGTAGCAATGTTGTTTACTGTTGTTATATTAAGACTGTTACTAATGCTAAACCATGCTTCAAGACAAAATGTCATTTTGTTGTAATTATAAATAAATATTTCACAATATATTAATATAATTACATATTGTTTTTGTGATTAATCACTATACTTTAATTATGTTCAAATTTTAAATATGAAAATACATCCTGTATATCTGATAATTACGTTAAGATTCATAACAGTAGCAAAATTACAGTTATGAAGTAGCAAAGAAAATAATTTTATGGTTTGATTGACCAAAACTTGAAGAACTGTATTAAAGGGTAACGGCTTTAGGAAGGTTGAGAACCAATGCTCTACACAAATATACTTACCTTTTATAATAATAAATTAAAGTTAACTACATAAAAAATTACAACTTACCAAGAGACCATAGCTTTACCATCTTGTCCCAGGATCCAGTGACTATCTGAATTTTTTTTTTAAAGATGGGTTTTTAATTAAATTTCTAAAAACCTTTCTTTCTTTTAAATGCAACACACTAAACCAAAATAATATATGTCAACGTTACAGAATGTACAAATTAACATGTATCATTACAGATTTTTTAAAAACATTATAATTTTATACTATAATAACGTTTATCAAGTAGAAGTTTTAGTACTTAGAATATTGAAGCTAGGCATCTTGTCTTTTACGATACAAAAAATTCTGAAAAGCCTGTTCTCTCTTTAACTATCATTATAATTCAAGGCTTGAAAGATATAAGGTTGGAGATAATTTTTAACTGTGAAAAGTTGTTTGTTCTGTTGAGACATAACTAAGAGACCAAAGTACAATTAAACATTCATTTAATTATTTAGTGGTCTAAGTAATACCAAAAATTATATAATAAAATTAATAAAAAAATAAAAGAAATTTTCCTTTTAAAATTTTTAAAGTACTTAAGTATATGTACATACCCTTGCTCCATCATTATTAACCGCAACACAGTCAACACTCCCAGCATGTCCCTTGCAAGCATAAACACAGTCAACTTCCTTTTTGGTCTCTTTCCAGCGCCACACAAATAATGTTTGATCAAGCGACCCACTGACAAACATGGGCTCATTATCAGATTTACCTGCATTTAGAGTTAAGCAGCACTGAATCAATGAAGATAAAATCCTATAAAATATATATTTGTAAATTCAGTGTAGAAAATGAATTAATCTTTTTAAATTTACATTTTAATTTTGATTTCTTTAAATTTAAACAACATATTTTTTTTAAAAGACTGTCCATAGTTTTAAAGACAGTAAAAAATTCATGGAGATATTTTATTAGGCTGGGATAAAAATCATATCATTATCCCCACTAACCTTCAGTTTTAATCCAAGCCACACATTTTACAGGACCTGAGTGTCCAGGAATAGTAGTTAAGCATTTACCATCTCTTGTCCATAACTTTAATGTGTTGTCATAACACCCACACAAAATTCTATAATAGAAAAATTAATTTCAAAACTTGGCATTAAAAAAAATTTAAAATAATCTTTTCTTCTCCTCCTCAGCTGTTGGTCAGTGTGAATGGAGATGGAGGTGCATTCCATTCCAACCAATGTATATCCATTCACAGGATTTCTGTATTGTCAAATCCACTGCCCCAAAAGAATTGTGGTCTTTCTCTTCTTCTTGCACCCTTGAGTTGGGTTTCAGAGGTGCAAGGAAAAGTGATTAAAAATACATAAATATTTTTAAAACGCATTGTTACTTTTGAAGGGGGTGTGAGACTTTGTAACTTCCTCAGTGTGCCAAATATGGGCAAGGTTTGAAAATCCTGACCATGAGGTTCCACGAGCTAGTCAACCTGTGAATACTTATACATAGTTTTCATAAAGTTTTTGGGTTAGTATCAATTTTCTTTTCCACAATAATGTACTTGATGCTCTTTTAACCTTATAAATATAGATGCAGAATTCAATGAAGGATATTGTTGGTGAAAGTCACAAGCATTTTTGTATTATGTGCTTGTTATTCTTTGCAGCCTAAATGCTGATTTGACCCCTTTAAAAATGATTAAAACAAAGTTAGAAAGAAAATCAACTTACAAATTTTTGTTCCCTTGCACACAGCTAACCCAATCATCATGCACAAGTGATGTCTCTGGGCGTGGTGCTGTCTGTCTTTCAACATATTCAATCTCAATAACGGTTTCCTGTTTTTAAAAAAAGATCATTACTAGTTGAAATGAAATAAAGTTTTGCAGACAACTGCACTTTCAACCAAATACTTTAAAATATGAACTGTTTTTAATAATTATCTAATGATGTTGATAAATTTTACACTAAAATGGGTAACTTACAGGTGATATGTTTTTGTCATCAAGATGTACAGCAAGAGAAGTTCGCAAAAATTCTCCATCAATAAGGAAATCAAATTCGACTTTCTCCTTAACATCCCCTGTAATAGATTAATAAACACAATAAATTTCTTTAAATTTGAGCCAATGTGCCATATTTGTGAATATAAAATATCTTAACAAATTTAATAGTGACATTTAGGCAGCATAAAGCAAAATAATCTACGACACAGATTCTTATTAACTTTTTTGGGTACTGGTATTTCAGAATATATTTTTAAAAGTATTTATAAATTTAATTTCAACAAATATTGATGAGCAATATCATCATGGTAAACTTACCATCACACAAAACACTGTATATAATGTTATTTAATTCTTTTGTTGAAACTGTTGAAGGAATGGAATAAGGAGCATCTGCAACTGAATACCTATAAAGAAAAAAAAAACAGATCTTACATTATATAAACTTTTACACTTATTTTTACATTCATAATGTATTCTAAGCTAAGATTTGAACAAACATAGCACTTACGGCAGACAAAAGCAAAATTATTAATTATTTTAACCTTTAAAAACAATTGGCTTGGCAGGGAAAATTCTTAATGCTGTTAGTACTTTTCAGCTCAATTTGTGCTTTCAATTTAAATTTTATCATGACCAAGTGTGTCCATATTAATTAATACCATTTTTATTGTCAAATAACTTTCAATTTTGTCTCTGTTAATCACAGTTGTACCAAATTGTGACAGCTATGACAGTGACCTCATGGTACCCTATGTGTGTGTAATTTAATATTTCTATCTTTCAAAGATTATACATTTTCACTTGATGAGCTGTAAGTGGATATTGTATTTATTTCTGTCCATTTGATTTTGTATTCTTTATACAAATTTAATAGTATAATTAAATTGAATTTTTTTAATTTAACTAGCTTTTGGACTTTGGTATCGATTCTTTGTATACCAGCTTTTCAGTCCTTTGTAACGTATTGATCAACAAACTAGCTAAATCTTAAAGCAGGTTAATAAAATTACAAAATCCACATAACTGTACATAACACTCTAATAAAATAACTGTCACCTAAATTGCAAGAGTACAACATTAATTTTACACATACCAGTCAGGCCAAAAGGTTAAAAACTGGCAAAGACCATGGTGTATGCAGGCCAAAGCTAATGGTTTTGCTAGGTACATCGCCGCCATATTCGCAGGCCAGATTCCCTAGTTTTGCTAGGTACACCACCATGGTGTAGGTAGTGATGGCCTTATTTATAATACAAATTATCAAGCCTATCAGATATTTTTAAGATTAATTTGTAATCTGATGGCAAATAATGTTTTCAGTGAAAGGGAATTTCAGAAAGTGTCAAATTCATTGCACATGTTGCATAGCGGATTGCGACTTCGGACTTGACACAATAAATAGGTATTTTGGTAAAGCAAGAGAGACTAATAAAAACATTTTATGGGAAATGGGCGTCAGTGCACGAAAATCCGAGTTTTAAATTTTTTGATGTTGATACTATATCCCACAATTGTGTTCTTATTCCAGCCTTTCGCTTTGGGGGACATCTTGGTCTACATTTTAATCAATTTCTTTTTCATTAACAATCAGTCAACTTAGAGCAAATCCTTGGTGAATGTTAGGCAACTTTCATTATAAGATTAAGTCGAAATTAAATATATGCCATTTTCATACTTATTATGTCTCTTGGATATATATTGATTTACCAGTGTGCCAATTTTCATGGCATTATGTATTTTACGTCAGACACTGTGGTTCCCTGTTTGAGCAGTATTTTGTTCGTCAGTGGGGAGTCGACCATGACCACTTTAATCATCAAAGTTTGTGTTAGTTCTGTCTGTGGGTGCGCAGATGGCTAATGAGGCCGATTCTGGCATGAAATTCTCTTGTGCAGTAGGTGCAGGGGAATGATGGCGCATCTCCGCGAGCAGAGTCAGACCAGGCCTTCCTGGCATGTCTCTTGCGCTCAGCAGCCGGTGTTCTGCCAACTTCATGTTGCATGGAGCTCCTGTGTAAAGTGGAACGTCATGAAGTTCGATCCTTTGCTTTTTCCTCCCACGTGTTGAGGATTTTTCTGAGTCTTGTTGTATGAAAGTGGTTCAGCATTCTTGAGCAGTGAACTGCTCTACCCAAGATGGCTTGGATGTGACCATGCCCCCTTTTTAATGGCGGAAGATGCTGATAATTCAGAAATATTCAATTATTATCACTATTTACATCAAAATATTTGGATAACTTATGTTTTAGAGTAACTCTCTCCCTCTCAGCATTGCTTCCTTCTAGAATGCATTATTGCTTAACCCCTACTTTGTTTTGGTAATATACCCAAGTATTTTGTTCTATTATTTGTTTGCAAGATACTCAGTTCATTACATGGTAGAGAAATAGATTTTAAAATTAATTAAAAATAGCTTTGAATCATTCTCGGTCACGTGACAAATATCTCGCACCACATTGTTACGGCAGTCATGTGACTTGGTCGCCGGACAAATAGTGCAGGAGATATCCGTCCAGCCCTTTTTTTATTATATACTCTACGCACCTGAACTGCACTTTTACCCCTCATTTTGTCTTACAACCCGACAAGTATATTGGCTGTTGTTGAGAATCGTGCTCATGACATCATTAGCATGTTTATTCAATATTTGTGCAGGAGTCATTCCCCTTTGTTTATTTTATTGTTGGAGGACGTGCTTGTGACATGTTTTGTATCAAAATTTTAATTGGTGTTGATTATTTATAATTTTAAATTACCATTGGTTGGCTAATTATCATATTTTATTTGCGCCACCATATTTGTAACATGTTAGCTTAATGCCGACTGTTGTGCTCTATTCATTTGTGCATATTATTTTCTTTGGAACCTGTAATAAAGTGTGTAAAAGTGTATTTCATGAAACTGTAAGTTGGGTTTTAATTATTTCTTTGTTTTAGTTTTAGAATTATTTTTGGCCATTTTTTTTTTCATTTTCATACTTAATGCCACTGCCACAGTATGTATTCAATATGTTTTTACTTCTGGCTTTCGGCTTTGGGTTAGGTCGAGGGATCAACTGTTTTCTTATTTTATTTTTTTTTTAAAATTGGGGAGGGATCACCCCTCCCCAGATAATTTCTTTGTTTCGGATTTTGGTATTTAAAGTGGGGTGAGGGGTCTCCCCTCCCCAGTCATTTCATAACACGGTATAATAACAAGTGTTTTGCACTACATTTTGCCGCCATCTTGGTTGACACTTCACATGTCGTGTCAACTAAGATGGCGGCCATGATGGGTAACCACGGGCATCGTTCTCAACATTTACCCTAATATTTTAAATAGTTTTTTAATCCCAACCTCTCACTTCTGATACCAGGGTGCGAATAGCCACTTCGTATTTTTAATTTGAGACCACCGTTCTGACTGAGCAGTACCACAAAATTATTGAATAATTAAAAAAAATTGAGCCCTCGAAATCCTAATTATTGAGCCCTCGAAAATCCCTATTATTCCTAGGGAGCCAAGATAGAATAATGTCTATTTGAGATTGAAGGCCTGTTAACATCAACTATAATATAGATATTCTTACTGCTCTTGTTTCGTAAAGAATTTGGCTTGCACATGGGGAACGGAGTCTGATATCTCAGCTGCCATTTTCGTTGTTACAATATGGGCTACGTTCAAATTTGTGTAAAACAGAGTAGCGTGCCCTTTGAAAACGCCCACTTTTTCTGAATGGGTTGGTTCCGGTTTCCAACAGTGTTGCTTTATGTTGTCTAACTCTTAGTTTGGTTACAAAAGTTGCATATACTATCTTACTAATTAAATGTATAACTATGGAATAGGCATATATTACCATTAATACCACAGTTCTTTTGTTTCCCCATTTTACTAGACTTCGTCAATTATGATTTAATGTGTCTATTTTAGACTAAAATAACTGTTGTTAGTGTTACTAAGTCGGTATTCAAACACAAAGAAAACAAATATGACTGGTAACAAAAATTATTGTATTGTGTGCTCCAATTACGCTGGTAAAAATCGTTGAAGGTAGAAAAGTTACTATGCATCGAATCCCTAGAGCAAAAACACTTTCAAGAATTTGGTGTTCTAGATTACAGCTTGTTCGCAAAGATTTAAAACCAGGGCAACTTAAAGGAAGAGGTAAGTGATAAGTGTAAGCACTTTTGTTTTAATTTTAAGCAACTAAAAAAAAAAAGTATTATATATAGGCAGCCTATTTGTATATATATTAATGAAACTATCAAGTTAAGCTGGTATAGTGTATGAGAGTTGAAAACTATAGTATAATGTATATTAAATTTTCAGGAACCCAATAGTAGTAATAGGCATAGGTTAAAATATACCATACTCATACTATGCAGTCTCATTTCTGTTTTAGGCAACACAAGAGTGTGTTCAGAGCATTTTCTATGGAAAAAAGGACCCTAGCCTGGTGATGACATACCTTCGGTGTTTGCTAACCGAACATACAAAACAACAGTACATGTAAGTTTAAAAAAAAAAAAAAAATTCATTTGGTTGCAAGTTTAAATATTTTTTTAATTAATGCAGAACGTTGTGTAACTTAATTTGACAATATGAACATTCATGAATTTTATTTGAGAGAACACATTGAAATAGAATTGATATTTTAATAAGACAATATGAACATTCATGGATTTTATTTAACTTTGAAATAGAATTGAAATTTTATAAATCAAACACATTGAAGTAGCACCGGTATTCAAAAGTATTGACATTTTCTTTAATGTTCACAGACTCAGCATGTCGAAGAGGCAACAGCAGAGAAGGCAACTCAAAAAGAAACTTTTTTTATTAATCAGGCTATATCAACAATACAAGGAGTATCTGTTATGTTACATGATTATTGTGGTAAAATAGATACTAAAACTTTTTGTCAGTACATATCTAATGCTGAAACACAATCACACATAAATAAATTAGATGTGTCAATGCAAACTGATGTTTTAACATACAATGTAAGTATGCAAACAGAAGACTATGGCTTTTATGCACCTTTAAGGCCAGAACATTTATTAAAGGAGGTATTTAGGTTATACACTAGTATCCCAATGCTGCGGTTTTTAATGCAATTTTTGATGAATGTATGTCTCATCTCGGTAATCTTAAAGATAGGAAAAGGGTTATGAGACCAGTTGATGAGTTTTTACTAACACTTATTAGACTGAAAATGGGGTTGCCAATGTTTGACTTGGCATTTAGATTCAGCATTTCAAAAGCAACAGCTTCTAGGGCTTTTTCAAAGTGGGTCTGTTTGCTCTACAGCAAATTGTCTTGTCTTATTTATTGGCCTACAAAAGAGCAGATAGCAAACACTTTGCCACAAAATTTTAAGAATTATTTCTCCAATACTAGAATAATAATTGACTGCACTGAATTGGAAGCTCAAAGTCCAGAATCTTTGCAGCATAAATTATTAATGTATAGTAATTACAAGTCTCACATGACATGGAAGGCCCTAGTCGGGGTTACCCCTAATGAAGTTGTACATACATTTAAATATGAAACAAACAACTGAAGTAGTACCGGTATTCAACAGTATTGACATTTTCTAATAAATAAATAAGGTACCTGGCATTTAAATATTTTTATGAAAAATCTTTTTATGAAAAGATAACATACCAGTATCAGGTAGCTATATATAATATTTACTTGTAAAAATGTGTACATATTTATTCCATTTGAAAATAAAATTGCCCAATAAAACATCATGGAAAAACTTATCTATCTATCGGTTCACTTGATACTTTTTAAAAAAATTGTGAAGTTTATGTTTACATTTTGAATTGTTCAGTTAATATAGAAGTTTCTGACGTTTAATTCTTTCAGTAATAATTTCAGGAATAATATATAAAATGTAAAATTCTTTCAGACATTTTAACATTACATTCCACAAATTTCTGTCAAAATGTATACGTTCTACTGAAATGCCCTTTGTTGTCCAGATAACAAAATCACACCAGGTTCTGCCACTTATTGCCATCTGGAAAACTTTGTATTGCAGTCAAAGTAAATTCAGATTCAATATATTCTTTCAAGGCTGCAGGATTCCTGTGTGCCATTTTATTTAAAATAGTGTACCTTTTAAAAGGTTCAATGGCGTATGGTAACTTTTCTATACTCAGCAACTTTTTACTCAAGGACTGGGAATTGCTAAAAAGTAACAGGTTAAAACTAAGCCATTTAAGATTTTTACAGGAGGATCAAAAGTTTTACCAAGAGGAGTTGAATAATTCATGCGTGTTATGCCCACACTAGAACAAGCCTGAGAAATAAAATTTAAGTCAATTTCCTTGTTGAGGAAGTCCTCCCTGAGGTTGGGTTGCAATGTCATAAATGAACTCCTAGCAGCATTTATCAGGTTAAGAAAACGAGTAAGGGATCCTTTCATCAATCTGGAGTCTGGAAAAATGTCTGCAATCCATTCATCTGCAACCTGGGAATAAGGAGAATTTGTTAACAACTGGTATTTCAAATATACTACCACAGAGCCTATCATACATACCATCTTACATAGCATGCAGCACTTGGTGTAATTGTTATCAATTGCTAATGCTGAAATTACTTGCCTGTGACCATGGATGATTTCCTTCTTCTCTGATGTATGATAACTGCACTAGTATCCTGTTGTTTGCGACAATCTCTTTTGGCAGGCCTTTAGGTCTACCTTTTCCCTTGTGCTGATATCTATCTCGAAGGATGGTGTAAGTCTCATCCACTGAAATAAGTACGGATAACATTAAAAATTTCAAATTGCGTTTTATATTTTAAACATGGAAGTGTCCCAAATATTTAAAATGTCACAATTTGGTTTTAACACATTTTTAGGATCTACTTGCGTCATTATTAAAATTGGTTAAAATATTTTTTTAAAGAAAATGTTTTTCATACCTAGTAGTATAATCAATTTCTCTGCTGCACACCATATAATTTAACAGTTCTTTCTCTGTTATGTTAGGCCACTCTGACATGATCACATCTTCCACGTCCATCCAATTTTGCAGTGATGCAACATGGAAATATTCCACACCAACCAAATCTTGCTTCTGCACTGTAAAGTCTTGATCTAAACAAAATCACATGGTTAGACACATGTCTCGTGAATTGTTTAATTATTTTTAACTAGAATCAACTTGCAAATAATGTTTGTTAAAGTTTACAGCCTAAAAAGTCACTAAGCTATAGCGTAATAAAGCATAGACTAGTTAATAGTTACTACTAATACTATTAGTCATTTGTATTTATACAACTTAGCCTGTAGATTTTGTTAGCATAATGCTAATATTCATACTGATAGGTCTGCTTAAATTGATAATTTATCAATTAATAGTTTATTTTACTAGTATTAGTAAAATTAGTGTTAGCGAAACTAGTACTAGTGTCAGGCCGTGTAACATGTAAAAACATAGCTTAATATCTTATCTATATTATTCAGACTATATACTTAAATTTAGCATTAGGCATATTAATTAGTAGTACTATTAATCAAGCCGTTGCAGTTTATGTCACGTACTAAAAAAAAATGAATGGAATCAAAAAAAAATAATTCTACCAGTTGACTATGATTGACTATGCCATGTTTTATACTTACACGCAAAATTTGTGTTCTCGAACTAGCGATGAGTCCCTTTTGCTCTCTTTATCAAATCATCCTTTTTCCCGCTAAGTAATTGACCTTTAGATTGAAGGTGTGATTTCAAATCCTTTACCTTCATTGAGTCAAAAACTTTTTCAGCCTCGCTATCCATAGTAATAAACCAACTCCAACTAGACGGTAAACGAACCGGAACCAACCCAAGCGATCTTTTCTCCCCGAAAATAAAAAAAAATTTCGTTCGTGGATGTACCTAATACAAAAGATTGTAGTTTTGTATTATCTAATTATTTGATTATAATGAACGGAGTCGAGTACCACTGAGAGAAATAAATAGAAAATGAAAATTCTGATGTAAATGTTTCTTTCTTAAATTTTAGCTAAAAGATAGATTTTATTCTCCACTAATAGGTTTATAACACGTAATAAAATTTGAAATATTAATAAAAATTTCGTTTTAAATATGTTAAATATATTTGATAAATTGTTGCTGTATTTATAAGAAGTTCGATTATTTTCAGGGGAATATACTCTTATTGTAAAGATCTTGCCACCCCTTCGAATTATTTCCAAAAACAAATTAATTTCGACTTCTTGTTGGAATAATTTGAAGGGTGCAATTTAAATACTAATAGTGCTAATATGAAGTTGGGTTGGTGTAGGTTAAAAGGTATGTGAGTGTGTGTGTGTGGGGGGGGGGGCACTTCGGGATGGCATTTTATTGGGTGAGAACTAAACGAACTCGAATATCCTACTGACGATGGCGTGAAAATTATTTTGTAGCCGACTCTTTTTTCCCCCAGTGTTAGCAACTTGTATCGCAGAAAACATAGATATGTCTATTAATTTATCAATAAACAATTTGTTTACAATTGAGAACACGTTGACAATGCGAGCATTCTAGGCTGAAAGCTCTGGATAAACCATTTATGATCACTTAGAACCACTTTCAATAAGCATAAAACGTTATAATTAAACCCAATAAACATAATGTATGTTTCCTATTCCTTTATTTCATTAAATATTAGCAACCTACGCGTTTATCTTTAATAATATAATAATATTAATCCTGGTGTCCTGTGATAGTTGACAGCCAAATAAAACTTATTTGCTTATTCTTTTTTTTTATTTTTTAAAGTGCCTCTGCATATAACGGCTTATTTAAATAACAACCAAACTAATTTCAAATTGTGATAATTATCGAACATGCTGGAATGTAGTGGTTTCCGAGCCGAACCCGAACTTCTAAATAAAAAAAATATTTTTAAAGAACTTTAAAAAAAAAAAGAAGACTTTCTATCAATGACGAGTTAAAACTTAATAAAAGTAGAAAATAATTTATAATGTCTTAAAATGCATTACGCGTAGAAAGACTGTGCATTTTAGTGTACATGATCACTCTATGTAGCCAAAGTATCTATTAATAAAACTAAAACATATGTAAGACGAAACATAAATATATTTTAATTTTGTTAATTAATAAAAAAAATATTTTCTTTGATAACTTTCACTACGTAATGCATTTTAAATAATTTAAATTATTTTCTCTTTTTAGTGCTTTTTAACTGGTCTTTATACAAATTCTTACAAAAAACTACATTAAAAATATTTTAAAATTTTCTAGTTTTTATTATTAAACTTATAATCTTTAAATTAATGGCAAAAGTAGAATTATCTACTTTTTGAAAACTTCGAATGCTTACAAAATCACGGTGAAAGTGAATTCACTCTTTACCTGGGCATTAAACTAAAGTAGATCTGAGCTCACCCATTCACCCGTTCACTCAATGAAGGAAGTGCAGCCAGTCACGATAATTTGAGCGACAGTGACAACCCACTCTAGCCTTTCACTAGGTGAACACCGCACGAGAAATCTTTAAAATGTTATGTGTGTAAACAAGCAAAATAACGTTCTACACACAAGATGAAAATTCGAAACGCTCCACACACAAGATGGAAATGAGAGTAATTTAAAGTCTTTAAAAAGGTCCTATTCCCATCTCTAGTGAGAAGGTTTTGCTCTAGTTAAGAAGATAATGATGGCAGGGGAAAATCAGGTTGAGTGTGGGAACATGAGGGTGGAGGTGAGAGAAGCTAGATATGGGGTGATAAATGGAGTATGATGAGAGGCCATGCATAGGAGGGCAATGGTGGTGTATTTCAGGGAAGGATGACGGAAGAAACTCAATGAGCAGTAAAATATGGGGACCATAACAATTATTTTTAGTGGTTTGGGGCAGTGGGGTGCTTGGATTAAATATCACATGAGCGAATGCCAAAAACTACACTTCACCCCGAGCCCCCAGGAACGGTTACTGATTCTGGAGCCCTGGGCAAGCTTAATTTTTGGGCCCCAGGCAAGCTTATGTTGGGAGCCAATTTTTAAAATAATCATAATAATTTGTGCAAAGAAAAAACTAGGGATTAGGTAAAGAGTTTATTGCTAGGTTGTTTTAAAGAAAATGAACAATAAAATTATTTTCTTAACTTGTATTTGGACAGTATGAACAATTAGCCTACCGTGGGCAGTATGAACAATTAGCATACCGTGGGAAGTATGAACAATTAGTTAATTAATGACATTTTTTGTCTAGCCTTTAGGTAAGGAAATCTTTTTATTGCACTTTCTATTTTTCTTCCATGGCCATGGCGCCCACATGCAATGATTTTTTCCTTTTTGGAAGATCGTTGATGGCGCCCTAAGCACATGGCGCCCGGGCAACTGCCCGAGTTGCCGGTACCTTGAGCTGGCCGTGCCCATCTCTCCATCCAAAAAAACACATCATTCATATAATATATTTATATAAATACCCCCCCCTCCATGGGAAAGTCGGGTAGGTCGCCCCTTCGCATCCCTTAGGTACGCCGCTGGTGGGGTTATTTGACGCCTCTAATGATGAAAGTTGAAAATTCAATAAAATAGTTTCCAAGTACCTATTACTTTCTGTAATATTTTTTATGGGTGTAAATGTAAACGACTATGAGTAGTAAATAAGTAATATTATACATGTGATTTGTGTAATTATTATAAAAACCAGTGGAGATACTCATCATGGATTGAATAATTATAGACCAATGAAATTTATTGTACGTTCTCTCTGCGGTGTAACAACGAAAGTAGGCGATATTAGATGGCCGATCTAAAGCTTCCGTATTGTCAGTATTGTTGTTACACTCCGTTTCACTTTTCAATGAATGTGATTATGTTTTGTCGCTGTTAACATTATTTACGCTAACTAAAATAATGTAAGTATAACCACAGCCATACATAATGTTAATCGATGATATAGGTTACACGCCCCGGGAGCGATAATTTGTATATTTATCTTTCGAATATCGTATAATTAAAATAAAATTTAAAAAAGTTAAATAAGTAATCAATTATTATTATTATTCACAATATTTCAAAAGCAATAGTATGGTCTGAAATAGTCATTCATGTATAGTATAGTTAGTCTATCCATTTTGTACAAGTTAGTGTCACTACAATAATCAATATCCAATGTCAATACTTAACTTAGTCTAAGACTAATACTATAGTATAGTTACTATAGTTAGATAGTGTAAACAGGCTACTACTAGTAGTACTACTACAATTACAATAATACAACAATAATAATAATTTTATTTTTTATAGTTATAGTCTTTAATTTTAGGTTCTTGGGTAAATCAGTTTTCTGTTAGTGTTATTCAACATTATCAAATCAATTCTTTACTTAAAGTCACAAATTAAGTAAATAGTAAATATTACCAGAAGTAGTAGAAGAAGAGACTAGATAGGCCTAATTATTAAAATTAAGATAATTAAGGAATAGACTTGTTCAACTTGGATTTTGATTTTTGTTAATCCTACTGACCGACAAAGTCATATTGACTGATATTCATGTGTGATTATCATTATGATTATGTAGTGTAGCCATTTCTGCTGAACCTGAAATTTGAAATGCAAACTTAGGCTTAGGATTAAATCTCCAAAGCAAACTAAAAAAATGATGGTGGTAACTTATGTATTAAAGTAAATAATTGAATGTGCTAAACTAAAATATGAGATTACCAGCCTATAGAAATACTACCCGTTGAAGCTGCAGTCTTGGACTTTGTATTAAATACATAAAACATTTAATAATTACTAAAAAAATAAGTTAAGATCACTAGACCTGACTAAGGCTACAGTAGCACTAGGTCTAGACTAGGTTGCTGCTATCTTTTAAAAGTCCCAAACAAAGTGTGCTGAAATAATTCTAAACTAAGTCTAATACTACGTAAATATACAGAATAAGTAAAAGTGTACATTTTTTTGTTTTAATAATTTAAATTGGCCCACAAATTAGTCTTTTATTGATTAGACAGAGGCATATTCTTTTTTGTTTAGGCCTATTCACCATCAGGCTATTTCCTTATGCTTAATTTGCTCCTAGTCCTAATTAGGCAAATGCCAGTCACACATTTTGTTCATTTATCTCTGTTCATCCTCTTAAATATTTTTTTCAGATCATTTCATTTCCTGCAGTTATTCTGTGATATAATCCCTTCTCCGAGTGTTCCATTTTCTCTCTTTCCATTGCCCTGTAAATTCCATAAGAGATGTTTTATGTTAATTAACCTGCTCAGTTTCACATGTGAAAATATTTTTTACGCATGTTTTTTTCCATTGTCTTATAAACACACATTGTCAGCATCTAAACCAGGGATGGGCAACTTAAGACCAGTTGGTCACATGTGGCATGCTGAAACATTTAATGTGGCCTGCAAGACTTTTCGGGACAGGATTAATGTTTTTGAAAAATATACATATTGTGATTTATTATCTGTAAAAGAAAATCATTAATCACAGTGTACAAGTTTCAAAATATAATAATAATTATAACAGCAGCAAATTTAAAACTATTTCACAGTGAACTTTGAGGGATTTTTCAGTCATTCATAAATGATGAATATGACATATACATTTTATTATCATGTGGCCAGCCAAATAAAAAAAAATTCCATATGGTTCTCTGCACAAAAAGGTTGCCCATCCCTGATTCAAACCACAGACAGTCACATTTAAATACAATCATGTAAGCCTAAGCATACATAATTTCATTGCCTGAGATGTGGTTACTAAATACCATGATTGCATGCAAATGACTTAATACTCATAATATTCAAAACTACAATTTAAATAACAAAATATTTTTAAAACTATCACAGGTGTAAGTATCAAAATAAAAAAAGTAATGTAGGCTTTGATTAAATACTTCGTAATTATAGTGTATCTTTTAGTGATCCAATGTAAAAATTCAACACACCATTTTTGAGACAAAAGTATAAAGGTGAACCAGTGTCATGACTTCTGTAAAATTGTTGTTAGATAATGTCAAATTTCTTATTAATTTTTAAAAATAGAATGGATCTAAAATAAGATGGTTCTATGGCCCTATTAGTTTGATACTTTGATAAACTTCTTCGACATACTTTAATTTATTAAATTGTTTTATTTCAGTGCCAATATGGCTGATGAAACGGAAGAAGTAGTTAAAGTTCTTTATGATTACACCTATTCTGATGACAGTGGTAAAATTGAAATCAAAGCAGATGATGTATACAGGCTAATCGAAAAAACAAATTCTGAATGGTGGCAAGTGTACGATCCCTCTGATTATGATGGAGAATCTTTTTTTGTACCAGCACAATATGTGAAAATTGTTTCTGAGAAAAGTCCATGGAAAGCTCTATCTGACTTAGACAAGATTTTGACTTTTGGAGCAGATTCTACCTCTTCAATTTCTGAAAGTAGTGATACTGATGAAGATACTAATTCAGAACCATCAAATTCTAAGCAGAATGAAAGTGAAAACAGTAAACCTCCAGTTCAAGATAAAAATAAATTAGATGAGGGAGAATATGTAAATTTGGATATGTATAGAGATGCGGCTGGGATTCAGAATCCAGTAAGTACATTTGAGTTCATGTACGGCTACTAGATGCATTTCATATATTTCATAATTGAATTAACTTATTTAAAATACATCTTTTGCAGTTACTTTAAAACAAAAAATAAATTGTTCCTGATTGTTATTACACATATTCCTGAAATAAGTACATATGTACTTAAGAATGTTTTTGATGCAGCCCATACAATATTTTACAACACATACTCCCACTGCAGTGCCCTTATTTCTTTTTCTGAGTTGTGTTGTTTTCTTAGGAAGCAACACCCCCCAATCTTATATTTCATGATTATTTTAAATATTGATGACCATGTACACAAAATAAATGCTCTTGATTTTCTATATTGAATTTTTTTAAATGTCAAATATCAGTAACATAATAAAAAGTAACTACTGTATCTATAAATCTCAAGATGTATAATATGAAACCTGCAATTGGTCTGAAATTATATACACTGGCTGCTCTAGATTACTTGGTATAAGCCTACTATTTTCATTTTGTTACACTTTTAGACTATGGGAAGGAAAAATTATTATCATTGAAATTCATGACATGAGCACCCATCTTTTTTAGACCAGATAAAATGTGTGCAGATGAAACTTGAGATTTTGCACTTCTTCTGTTTCTATTAAGGTTTTATCTGGTAAATCAGCAACAGAGCCGCCAAAAAACTGCACTCCTGCAACCAAGCCGCCTATCCCACAAGAACTAATCCAAGGATCAATACCCCCACCACTTCCAAGTGAGGCCACATTTGTGAAAGTGCTCGTGAAGGATTTGCCATGGGATATTTATAAAGAACATTCTGCTGGAAGGAATTTTTATGTAAATCGTGAAACAGGAGAAAGAATGTGGAAACCACCAAGAAAAGATAAGCCATCCTCAACAGAGCCAGTGAGATAAATTTCCTACTCAGAACTTTGTTAGCTTGAAAAACATATTTTGCATTTCAAACTGGGGATGTTAATTGATACCTAGACTTTAAAATTCCTAGAAATATTGAGAAATTATTATTTGATAAGCATTGGGAAGGCAGATGGGGGGTAATATCAAGATAATCGGTTTTCTACAACAATAATGGGTTAAACCAAAAAAAAAATGTTAACATTCCTAACTATTGAAATTATCTTGCCGTATTTTTCATTATGGATAAATTTATAATTTCATGCTGGGTAGTTCATTGGGACAAAACTGATATTTTTGAGACTTTTCAAGTTGTGTTAAAATATATTTAGGCCTGAATATCAAGATGACAATTTAATAGATGCTTGGCTGATATCCTGCCTTCACAGCAATACAAAATGAGAACAAAATAATAAAAGGATAGATATGCACTTGGTGCTATGTTCTTGACAGGAAATTACTTTTGATTAAAAGGAAAATGTTTGGAATTTGAAGAACATTAGAACATATGTTCTTTATCAATGCGGATGAAGATATCATGTGCCCTCATGATATATGTGTCTCTGTTATAGTGAGATGAAACTTGTCACAGCTTTTTTTTGCTCAGTCAATATTTTGAAGATGATTATTAATTGTATCAATCTTCTTCTTATCTCACCTTTGCAGTCCTTCATAAAATTTCCTTATTATTATTAGCAATTTGTTTTCAATAGTAGAGCAGTGGTTGTCAAGCTTTTTTTGTACAATTTCTTGCCTGACAATCTCTTCACAATATTTCTGAATGCTCACTGAACTTTAAAATGAACTACAATTAACATAAAGGCCACTATTAAAAAAAACATTTTTGACATAAAATTAATTATTCGGAAAAGTGTAAATCTTAGTCATCAAATGTGCATTCAGTGAGATGGGTCTGCTCTGCATGAACCATTTCTTCTAGGTTTGGCTTTGTTTTAGCCAGTTCAACTCACGTCATTTGTCTCATCTCCTCTGATTAAGAATTTTGTTTTATTAACAAGTAATGTAGAAACGCCATCTCACATCATAAGTGGCTGCAAATGGAATCAGCTCTCTTCTAGCCATCGTTGCAACATCTGGATAAGGCTGAGCCATTTCAATCCAAAAATCACTACAACACATATCACAGAAAACATGTTCTTCATCCCCATCACTTACCAAATTAAAAAAATCTTTTCTGGAATTCAATTGTCCTCCGAAGGCAGATCACTATGGAGTGTACAAACGTGTTGATAAATCAATATTATTTTTCAAAATTGATACATGTTGTTTCATCACCTCCAGGATATTGTCAACAATGTTACGCTCATGTTCATCAATAAATGTGTGTATCTGTGGGAGTTGGGGCCAAGTTCTTCTTCCCATAGTTCAAGCTTTGTTTTAAAAGCTATACATTTTTCATGACTATTGTGAACTGAGAGCTCTTTTCTTTGCAGCCCCAGGTTGATGGAATTCAGAGATTAAAAAATGTTGACCAAAAATGACAGGGATAAGAAAACTGCCATCAGAGAATTTTGCCTTTATGTCTTGTTAAACGTCTTGCATTTCCTCACATAATATGAAAATTCTCTTAAAAACTTTCCTTTTGGAAAGCCACCTCATGTGGAAGTGCAACAAGAGTTTCTCAAATTAGGAACCACTTTCTTTGCATAACTCAGAAAACAAAGGAGAGTTGAGTGGATTCACTTTAATAAAGTTCACTGCTGTAATCACTTCACTGAACATGATTTAACTCATCAGTCATTGTGTGCAGTGTGTACAAGTAATATTTGGGCTTTTTACTTAACTTAAGTTCGAAAACCAGAGCAGCAACTAAGCATAGCTGGAGCACCGTCAGTACACGCCAGTGACATGTTACCATTTGATACCATGCGCCTCAAATGATCTGTCCACTTTCTCAAATACTTCTTTAGCAGTTGTTCTGGTGCTGAGAGTTTCACAAATAAAAAAAAATCATCATCCAGGTGTTTTTCTTATACATATCGTACATAAACGCTAAGTTGAGCTGAATTAGCAACATCAAATTCAGGATTTCCCTGCACATTTTGTAGAAAGGCAATATCAATTGTGCTTTGATGCTGTAAGGTTTCTTGGTGGCAGCTATTTTCTTTGAAACCTCATTGGAGGCTTTTAAATCAGCCTTAATGATCTGCCAAAACATTCCTATCATTAAGCCTAGATTTTTGCAATCGTTTGGCATGGCGTTTAAAGTCAACATCTTTGTTTATTGAGCTTGGATGCTTGGTTTCCAAGTGTCTCTATAACTTGCTGGGAATTTAGAGAACTGAATGTCAACAAATCAGAACACAAAACACAATGTTTTTTTTTCCCCACTTGTCTTTATTACAGTTAACCCACATTTCAAATAGGAAATGTCATATCTCATTACCTTTTTTTAAAGGCATAATCTGAAGGAAAAAATACTTGTTGGAATTTCATTTATATAATTAGTAATTAATAATTTTTCATTTAACAATTCAAAATAGATTAAAAAGGCCAATTAATTAAGACAATAAAACATCCAAAGTATAACCAGCATCATTTAGAAAGAAAATCTTACCAAGGCAAAAAAAAAGAATTTCTGCATTGGAATGTTAGCGCGAAGAGAATTAGGAGAAGTATGCTCCGCCCAAACCACTCTGGTTAGTTCTAAGTTTAGCTCTTAGCTTCTAAGAATTGACAGGCAATTACTGGAGATCTGAAAGATAGATAGTAACTGAAATAATTCCTCAGATAGTTGATGCTTCACAATATGCCAAACATCTCTCAGAACACTGGTCCTAAATCTTCCACACACACTGTTGATTCCGAGAAAGCTGTGTGCCTAAACATGTGCATTATACTAGTGATTCTCAAATTTTGACTAAGCAAAGTCTCATGAAAATTAAATTGGGTTCCTTCACGGGACATAGAAACAAGGGATAACAATAGCAAACAGCCCAAAATTTCATCTATTTGAGCCCTTCATGGTCCAAATGAAACCGCTTTGCTGTCTCCTAAAGGACCAGCGACCCCAGTTTGAGAAACATTGGTGTAGAGCTAAGTGCCATCTTTTTAAAAATTCTTTATACTAACTTCGCTTTTGTGTGTTTAGGGCAAAATCTTCGAACGGCTAATTGACCCACTTCCTGTCAACCTGTCGAGCTGAAACTTGTCATACTTGTTGCATATGACAACACATTCTAATAAATTTTCAGCCCCACCCCCAAACCTCCAAAAATCAGTTTTTACTGTTTTTCAAGGGGAAGATGAGGGAAATATGATGATAATGATTTCATGAAATAAAATTCCTGATAACTGAGCTAAATGAGAGTCCTTTTTTAAAAAAAATATTAAAAGTGCAACATAATATTTTCTTTTGTTTTTCTGAAATAGTTGGGGAAATAAATATGCGGTGTAAAAGCAGGTGGGACATTAGTATATTAATAAAAAATAAAAAATGCACATAATGCAGGGGTCTCAAACTCAAATTATCCGCGGGGGGGGGGGGGGCGCGGGGGGAAGAGTCGGAGGGAGACGGGGCGGCAAAAAGTATTCCACACAAAAAGAAAATAAAAAATTAAAAAAAGTACAACTGTTACAATGTGCTCAACTTTTATTAATAAAAAAATTCCACACAAAAAGACAATTAAAAATTCAATAAAGTACAACTGTTACAATGTGCTCAACTTTTATTAATAACAAAAACATTAAGGCTTCACTTTCTTCCTCCTACTCCTTTATGCCAGAAATGTGGCAACGTTTCTTCTTACACAGCTGAGCAACATTTGGCTTGATTGAGGAAGCAACTGAGACCCTCAGTATAGTTTGAAGATGCTCATCAGTAAGTTTGGCCATGAACTTTGACTTGTTAAAGTTCATGGGGGGAAAAGAGCTTTTCCACAAACAGATACTAACAAAAAGGCTTGAACAACCTGGAAATCTCAAGGAAGATGGAGGGTAATGCTCTCATAAATTGTCCTAGCGTGTCTTTTTTTCCATTCACCTCCCTGAACTTAGACTTGAGCTCAGAATTGCACTGAAAATCAATCAGCTCCATTTTAAGCACAGGGGAGGGGGCATCTTCCACATTGAAGGAGAAAGGGCAGCAGGAGATAAGTGGCTATGTGTGTTTTGAAGTCTGCAAATGTTAATAAATTCTTCCTGTAGCTTTGCAATGGCATGAGTATACTTACTACTGAATGGTGTGCCCAAGTCCATGAGTACTTCGCATGTTGGCAAATGGCAGAGGTTTCTCTGAGAACCATACCACACATTTTGTACAGAATGCTCTGACATTGTCATAGGCAACATTGACAAGCTACCCCTGGTCTTGTAACTTCTTTTTGAGTACGTTCAGCTCCTGTGTAAGGTCATCAGGAAAAGCCAAGTCCATGAGCCGTTTGGGATCACTTTCTTTCTTTTGCCTCTTCGTCCTCGAGGAACAGCAGCCAATCTTCATCGATGTCTGTGATCCTTCCAAGGACATAGGCCGCCTACAAGAGTTCTTCAGGCATTACGATCCTGAGCCAATCTCTCCAGCTTCCCCCAAGTGTTGCCAAGTTTCTTGGGATCACTTAGTACATAAAAAAAAACCAACCCCATCCTTCTCCACGAAGGCTTTTAAAGCTAAAATGTGTTCAAACAGTAGCCAGGAGCAGGCAATATTTATGAATTATTGATGAGAAGGAAGATGCCATTGTAGGGAGAATGAATATTTATGTTTTTATCGTAGAAAATGCCTTTTTGACTAACCTTATTTTGATAGTGACCAAGCTGACAGGCTTGGAATTTCCCTCCCTCATAAACACTAGCAGCAATTTTAATAGAGATTCATTGATACTGTGTCAGATTGCAACGATTTAAACAATTATGTTTGTTTATTTCTCATTAATTGACTTTTTAAATTGTTCTCAAAACTGCACTTTGGCCATGTTTGTTTCATAAAATGCTATAATATAAAAACTTTTTGTCTGATTTTAGAACAGTTTTTACCATTGTAATCAACATCCAAACCTATACAAACTTAATAAAAATCAGAATTAGACTTGTCAATGAGATTTGTCTGAAACCGTTGTGAAGGGTCACATTATAGATATGAGTATGGGGAAAACGCGCCAGTCGCATTAACACTAAACTTTGCTGTCAGGTATATGAGTATGGGGAAAACGCGCCAGTCACATTAACACTAAACTTCGCTGTCAGGTATCAGGCTGCAAAATATTGTCTTGCGGGCCGAGAGTTCGAGACCCCTGATATAAAGGATTTATTTGAAAAAACTTTGTTTTTAAGGGTTGTTAAATTTTGGTACTGATAATGTTCTGATCTTGTATTGTGTGGGGAAAGTCTCTCACCCAAAATGTACATTTATTTGTCTTCTATTTATATTCAGGCATCAAACCTATCTCAATACTATTTAATATTTTTTAATGTTGACCATTTGGAATAATGTAATTTCATTTTAATGAAGCAGTATTTTTTTTGGTAGAATTATTTAAAGGGCTGCAGTGTTAATAAATGAGGGAGAGATATCAGCAAATTTCTCTTATTTTTTTCTGGTTTGTCTTCTCTTAGGTCTCTTCTACCCTATGCTTTTCATATTTTATTTTTGTGATTGATCTTTGGTACAACCGAATATAAGTATTAATTTCTAAGATTAAATTTTACATTTTCTATCATCTGATGCTTGTCAAGGATTGCTTGTCTGTTTTAAATCTTTTAGTTTTTATTTTCAATATTTAAGCTGCAAATTTAACATTATCAATCATTAGCCTAAAACTCCAGAATTGAGCTCTCCAGACAGTGCAACTGGCAGTAAAGTTGGAGAGTGGACAGGTATTCCTCCTGAATATGAGCAGGTGCATGACAATGGGAGTGTTTATTTCATTCATAAATCTACACAAGAAAAGGTATGGCTATTTTTTTTATCACATCTCCTTAAAATTATTTTTTAAACACAATATCATTAATTATTGTTAGTAAATTTATTAACTTTCAAGTTATTCTATGATCACACTCAACTTTTTAAGGCTTTTTAGTTAAAAAAAAATAGACTATTTACTTTTTAAATATTAAATAAGGTTATTGATAATTCTTTTTTTTTTTTTAATGCCTTTCTTTCCTTCTGAATAATTTGTAAGTAATGCAAATGTGTTGTAAATGTTGAAAACCCTCTAAATGATAGCCTATAAATAATATATTACATAATATTTTTATTTTGACAGTTTTACAATTATTTTATCATTACCCTTAATGTTCTTACTGATATTCAAATACACCCTCATTTTGCTTAAATGTGCTCTTATAAATGTTCTAACTTCATTGCCTCCATTTAAGAGTAAGGCTTAATTAATCTGCAAAATTCTTTCAGTCTTGTTTGGCATGTGCATTTAAAGCTAGTTTTGCTTAGAATGAGGAAATTATGAATGACCATTGCTTTTATTAAGCATGTTTGTTGTCCAAATAGGCTGTGAAGAAAGAATTGTTATTTAATAAAAACACTCATAAGAGAAAAAAAAAATGACTTTAAATATTTGGAATTTGATTGCTGGCAGCATCTTGCCCTACAATCTGCCTCACGCTTAGAGATATGTGTCACAAATTGTATTAAGATACATCAATATTTAAAAATTACACAAATATTGTTTTGTGGCATTTAGAAAAAATGAAATCCTGCTGTTCTTAGGATGGTTTGAATTTGAAACAATTGTTTAAGACAATATATCAACAGCTAAAAGTGCCATATGCAGATCATCTAAGTCAGGGGTTGGCAACCTATGGCTTAGAGCCAAATGTGGCTCTATGATGGCTGCATCTGGCTCACAGACAAATGTTCGATTATAAAAAAAAAAATATTTCTTTAGACTCCTTTGATTAGCAACAGCATTACAATGTTATTAAAAAGAATTCAGAGACATAATTATTGCATTTTTATTGTTGAAATTACACAAAATGCACAAATTTACTTGAATTTTTAGTTTTAAACATAATGTATGGCTCTCACAGTATTATTTTTCAAAATATGTGGTGTCCATGGCTCTCTCAGACAAAAAGCTTCCCGACCCCTGATCTAAAAGTCCATTGATCCTTCAATAAAATTCAAATGAAAGTTTTTACAGTGGAAATTGTTTAACATAAAGTAATAATTAGGAATAGAAATATTCTTGTGTATTTTACGAATTATATTGAAAATATGATACAAATTAAATGTTTTTAATTTTGTACGAATCAGTTCCTATTTAAAAGTGGTTTAAAAAACAAAAAAACAAACAAGTTAACATTATTCAAGCTAAGCATTTTCCTAGACTTTTTCAGATAAAAAAAAAAAAACATGCAATTTGAAATAAATGTATCAAAATTAATTTTTTAGCTTATGTCTATTGTTTTTCTCTTTATCATCCTATTTTCTACACAAAAAAAATTCCATCTGATGTTAGTTAGGTTCATTGATTTTGAAACCTTTTTAAAATTTCTAATGTAGTAGGCACAGCAACTGACTACAAAATTTCCTTGACTATTTTATCTTAATTACCTTCATGCACTGTATCCATTTATGTAGGAAAATATCATGAAATATCACAAATTATTATCAGCCACAAGATCATTAAAAAATTGAACAGATTTTAAATGTACAATTTGCCGAATGTTAAATCAACATCGTGGTGATATTAAAACTCTTTTGAATAGGTATTCAATTTTTCTCTCTATAAGTATCGACAACATAGGGAAGATTTTAACAGCTGACTGTTAATACACTTACATTCAAAATTCTCAGGGTTGGCATCCTTGTATCTATTGTTTATAATGAGTTGTCAACAGAGTAAAAAGTTGAATAATTTGGTGAATTAGCTTGGACTTATATATTGTTGTACTCTTCATATTATTTTGTGATGCAAAATCATTTAATTCTAAGTGAGTTTAAATTACTCTAAATTATCATTATCACCATAAGTGGCGTTGCAGTCCATGAAAGGCTATAGCTTCACACATTGCTCCATATGGACTGACCCATGTCTGTTTGGCTCCATGCTCGGATCCCTAGCCATTGTAAATCTGTATCCACATCGTCAAACCTCTGTTGAGGTCAACCAATGTGTACTCTCCTCTTTGGCTTTTGATGGTACACCGCCGTCACTCCTATGGTCTTAATGTTTAGCTATTTAAATACTCAAAATAAGTTGTTGCAATCTATCAGTAACTTAAAGTGATGAAGCTTTTACCTCAATACACACACAATCCTTATATGTTAATATGAGGTTTTATACTGAAAAAAATTAATAAAACCAATGCTGGATGAGAAGAGAAAAGAAAAACTTTGCTGAAGAGATTGGAGGCTCCTTAAAATAAATTGTATTTAAATGTTGAGTTTCTTTTTAGTTTGAGACTTCTTTATTTTACAGTGGTGGAATTGTTTTTTATATTTTTGACAGATGTTTATTAACTCCAGTGATAATTCTGGAAGAAATTTAGAACCACATAGCCGTAATCCATTTTTTGAAGGTAAATAAAGCTTTTCAGGTGTGAATAGATCGGAATTTCTGTATTGACTCCATTGGTTTAATAAGTGTTCCGGACTTGGTAATATTGCATGCTGACAATGTTTCAGTGGAAGAGCTTAGTTGACAAGGTGGGGCGCAAGTATTTTCACAAAGTGGGCTCTGCTGACACCCTGTGGACCCTTCCAACATCCTCAAATGCCCCTGATAAAGATCTCCCTCCTCAAACTACAGATCAAACTGTCCAGGTATTCCTTTAAGTGCTTTGTTTGGAGAAGAGACAAAAATCGCCTGCCTTTATTCTGTAGCTTTTGAGGATCAAATTTTATCACCTATTAATTGCAGTGTTTTACATCATACTGCTGCTATAAACTTTTAAAGTGTTTCTACGCATATATTTACCGAACTTATTTTAAAAAATCTATTTCTGGAATTGCATACACACCAACACATACTTAATAATTAGTAAGCTAGTAGATTCATATTAGAATTATGCTGGAGGAAATGTTTTCTAAATTAAATAAAAATTCTAACACCTTTTTCTGGTTTAGATTATGCTTGTAACACACCTTTGCCTTCACTCCTTAGATTAAACCCTTCTTGAGGGTGAGTTACAACAACTCGATGAACTACTTATTTTTTAAATTTTATTTTGCACCCTGTTACTTAATGCTTCCTAATTCCTCCCAAATAAGCTAAAGGAAATATATAGTTTTGCACGTAGCCTGGATGAAAAGAAAATACTATTTTTTAATAAATTGTATGTCAAATATTAATTCTAATTGTTAACAGTCATGGCTTATAGGATCAATTGTAAGGCCCACTAACAAATCAATAGTTTTAGTTCAAGGCTCTTATTTAATAAAGTCAAATAGTATTTTGAACACTCATTCTTATCTTTATTGAGTTTAGAGTTCTTATATTGCGTATTTTACCTCTTGATACATTTGTTATTGGGAGTTCTTTGCACATATTACAGTAATTGCAAGCTATCAAATCAATGGTGGAAATTGAGCAAGTGGTTTTCATCTATTTTACATTTATTAAACTCCTTCCTCTAAAAATGTTTGTTGTTAAAAATTGAAGGTATTTAAATTGTTTTTTTTAAAGAAATGTATGCTAGGAGGTCTATCAAATGTTTGGATAAATAAAATTTATTTTAGAAAACATGTAAAAATTGATATTTTGATGTTCCTCTCTCTCTCTCTGTTAAAATTCAATTTACCCAAATGGCCAATAAGACTAAAATTTAAAATAAAATGATGAAGAGATAGAAATTCATTTTTTGGTTTATGGTTTATTTGTCTAAATAGACATATTAAAATAAAAAACGGTTTTCTCAGCCAACAAAGTAAACCTTTTGTTAAAAAGTAATAACATGACTTAACATTTGCAATCCATTTAAAAAAAACAACTGATGAATGGTTTTCAACCACTGCTGCTGATAAATAATTGTATGTCTCAATATATTTAAATTCGTAAAATTCCACAAGTATAATATCTTAATTAAATGTTATAATAAAATATACTTTATACATCCTTATCCTATCTCACAGACATCATAACTTCCTCCCTTATGCTTTCTAATTTAGCACTGTTGTGTCCAAATCAATTCCCTCTGGGTGTAGTAACTTTTTTTGGTGTGTGCCTTTATGTGCAGTGGGACCACACTTTAAACAATGAACCTTATAAGAGCTTTTTCTTTAATTACTATTCAGAATTGGAGAATGTTCTATTGCTTGAACATCTATCAGGACATGTCAACATTAATTTTTTTCCGAGCAATTCGTTTCTCATTTACGTAAGAGCATCACATTGCAGTAACATGTTTTGCTCTATCAACTTACCGTTTCATGCCATCTATCATTCTGAAAAACTGGTTCTTGCATATCCAACATAATATCTCGTTACAGAAATTTTTCAAAACTTGTCTTTAAGTTACTTATTCTTCTATTAAACAATAGAGTGCTCTGTTACCACGAGAAACCCGGAAATGACAGTCAATGTTTGTTTTAACCATATGCTCAGGAACACACTGAAAATAGTCAAGCTGCTAGTAACTTTTAATAAAAAGCTATCAATGTAAATGGTTTTGGAAATGAAAAAACATTTATAGCATTGAAATTTAATAGAATATTCCCATCTCAGTTATAATGATCTTTAGTTTAATCTTTGGTTAAGTTTGCATTCCATTTTTCATTTACAACCACTGTGATACCAGCTGTATTACTATTGTTTATTTTTTGCGGTACATTTCTCCTTAATATTCTCTATATGAATTAATATTGCTTTTTAAAAGTCGTGTTATGTGTCATCAGTTCTGTATTCATATTTTTATTGTCAAGATTGTTGCAACTTCCCATGAACTTCCTTACCTCGCTATTTTTCCCCTTCATTAATTGTTTATAGATATTGTTAACACCTTGTGTAGATGGGATATTACAAATTATTTGTTAAAGTACTCATAGATAGATAAAATATCATTTAATTAATTTAAATTAAAATAATTTCTTACTTTAACGGTCTAAACTGTATATAAAATTGGAAACTGACTTTTACTGCTTGATAATTCATATATTAAACATCAATTGTTATGAAATAATGTTTAAAGGCTAACTAATATCACAGATGCATTTTTATTTAACTTAGATAAATCTGTCCCTTAATAAGATATATTGTTTGTTAAAAGCATTTCTTCTCCAGTACATTATTATATGCAGAACAAAATAATTAATAATTACTCTGTTTATTGACTTTTTACCCTACTTTGACCAACTTAGTAAAAAAATATTTTGACAGTTGCAAATATCTTTTGTGTTTTATTAAGATGGTACTTTTATATTAGTTTCAAGTTTTCATTTTATTTTAAAATTATTTTGGGAATTGGTGTATTTACTTATTCCCATTCAGAATATACATAAGTGATTTTACTTGTGTTTTTATAGATTAGGTAGAGTTTGAAATAATTAATACATTTTTTTTCACATATTGTGTTTTTCTCCATTTTAAAATGTCCAGTCCATTCTCATTAAAAGAAAGTGTTAATCAGCAGAATGCCTTTTTTATCATTAAATATTTTACATCATTACATGGAATATTTATTTAAATTGATAATTTTAGCACATCTCCTTAAGGACTGAACATTTTACTTATTTCTGCCAATACATGTGCATGTACCTTATTATTCATCAAATATTAACAATGGCTCATAAATCTGTTGCTTGCTGTATCAGCAAAGAGATGTCAATTGGGAATCACAAGGACATCGCCTTAGTACGTTTGGTGGAAAATCATTGCGGGCAACAAAAGCTATGTCCACGTATGGCCACTTGGACTCACCAAACATCCTCAATCGTGCTTCGACACTTCCTGCCAACTTGAATTCTACCAGAGTTTCGCCAGTTGCTAATGTAATTTCTTTCTCACTTTTTTGTGGTAATGACAATAGCAGCCTTAAAAATATAATGGTCAAGTATTAATTGTCATTTTGGACTAACTGAAATAACACCTGAGAGCCCCTAGTTGTTTTTTTAACGTACGCTTGAGACTTAAGAATGTATAGATTTTCAAGGTGTTGTCAATACATATTAATACATTTTGAAGAAAACCTTTGTATTCACAAGGTTCCATCAAAATTATAAGAGCTGAATGATTATTTAAGAAAAGCTAATTTGGATATTTTGTTTGACTCATATTGTCAAAGGCGTCATTAAATAATAGATGTGCATACAAAATACTGTGCCGTAGTTATTTGTCGAGCAACGTTACCTTAGGTTTAAAAGACAGCTTAAATTTGGACCTGGGGAGAGAAAAAAAAACAGCTGTTCATTTTGTAAAGATGTAAGACAATTTTATTGTGAAATATTAAAGTTTCTGTGGTTACAAATGTTATTACAGTTCTTGCTTGGAAAACAAAAGAAATGTCTGGCATGATTTTAATACATATTTTAAAACAAATTTCACATGAAGCAAATATAGTTTATGGGCATGATTCATCTATTGGTCTTGAAAACTACTAGTACTCAATGCATTTTGCATGTATACATAAATAACCCATGCATTGTAGATTTTCAGCATTGTAGCAACTTTAGAAGTTGAAAATTGCCCCTTCTGCCAAATGTTCTTTCTTCAAATTTGGAATATTTTCTATGTAGTTGCTAGAATTCTTGAGTGCTGTTATGTTTATTTTAAGTACATGTCATGTGTCAGTTGTGATTATCAATTATGTTTAAAGGAAAGTTTCTTGCCTTTCTAAAAATTATTTGTCTATGATCAATTTGCATCAGAAGTATTTTTGTTTCTTTGTTAAAAAAGTGTTTAAATTTCTCAATGTATTTCCTATAGAAATTTTTAAAGATTGTGTGTGTGTTTTCTTATTAAGTTGTTTATTCTCTCTAATTCTAGGATCGAAGTCGCAGTCCAACTCAAATGCCATCTCCAAATAATATTCCTCAAAGACCTACTAATTTATACACATCAAATATGCCTTTAAAAATTCAGGAGGTATGTATCAGTTTTATTAATAATAAAAGAAAGCCTATAAATCATGCTCTGTGCTTTTTAATGGCTAAAATTTTTATTGTTAATTGAAGTTGTGGTAATTACAAATTTATATTAATTTCTTTTTTTTTTAATCAACTATTTCAATAACTAAGTATCTAAATATTTCAATAAAATTTATTTAAGAGCTTTGTTTGTTTTCAATTTATGTGTTGGTGCATAAAATACATCCCTTAAATTAATGTATAAAAAGTAATTTTGGTGAAAAAAATAAAACAAAGGGATTAAGATTTTATCAAATTTAACACCATCTGAATTAAAATGTTCACTTCTTATTGAACTTTACAGCCATTTATTAACAGTGTAAGTTACCTTTTATAAGTTGCAAAGTTGTTTTTAGCATGTAATGTATTATCTATAAATTTCAGTCCTTAAAACTTAAGTTGAACAAGAGTTTCAAGTTTCTATCGGCGCCATTAATGTTTTATCTTGTAATCCGTCATAAGCTTTATAAAGTTGCAAAATATTTTTGGAAGTCCCAATTAGTTCTTTCAAAGAAAAAATAATTGAGCATGTACTTTTCCTCTTATCTATGTACTAATGGTTATACACTGGACCCTCGATAATACATGTTTTTTCAGGTCCCTAAGCTAAAGTTTTGTTCCAAATACGTATTTTAGTAAAACCATGTATTTGTACAGTTATGTTATGTTATTTGGGTGAATTTATGCTAACAAGTCCACCTGACTGGTTTGTTATAGAAGGCATTATAAAATCAGTAACACTTACAGCCAGTGCTCGACTTATGACCAGGATCGGTTCCAACAGACCGGTCGAAACACGATTTGGTCATAAGTTGAGTACGCTATGTGTGCAGTAGTGTGAAGTGATGTTATAAAAATATTTAAGTTAAATTATATCATGAATTTCTTTTATTATTGTTATAAATCATAATTTTCTATGGGAGATGGGAGTTCAAATTTTCAAACTCTGAAGAGCTCTCCAATCCACAAGCTATAGTCGCACTTGAGAAAGTCAATAGACTTAGGGTTATTTAGAGTGTTATTTCTTAGAAATTGATGACGCCGGCTAGCATCATGCCTCCCTTTCCTTAGTTAACGACCACCGATGATTGCAGACAACGCCGTTTGACTGATAATTGAGGCAGAAATAAATCTGAAATCTAATATGGCTAATGATTGTGGTGTTAAGTTGAATGGTCGTAAGTTGCATAGGTTGTAAATCAAACACTGGCTGTATTTAGATAACCAAAAATACTATAATTATATTGATTATAATATAAAATATGGTGTGAAAAAGCATACATAATTTTTTAAGGAGTCACCATTATTCACATGTGTCACGAAGGAATCTTCATTTTATTCACACATGTAATAAAGAGGGTCCAATGTTGCATGCTATTTATGTCTTCAGTCATTTTTCCAAAAAAGCTGAAGATTTTGAGTTTAAAGCATGTTGAGTATATATTATATGTCATGAAGGATCTTTGACACATTATACAAAGTAATATTGTACAAATAATTTTAGAGGGCAATGGCAGCACAATTTTTATAAAATGGTCAATATATATCCATTTAAAAAAAATCTTGTGTGCAAAAATGTGACTTACAAATAATACAATTTGCAAGTAAGACAAGGTTTAAAATTTGCTCAATATTTTTTCTTTAGTTTTATTAGGAAATCTATTTTGATGAATGCCAAAAATAAAATATGATGTTCATTTTCCAGTAGTTATCATGAATCCTTTTAGGTATTGTAGTTGTGTCTAGGGCATGGTTTAAGCTTTTAGACAACTGCATAATTTCAAATTTGTTCATTTGAAATTTGTTCGGTTTAATTTTTTTTTAACTTTAAAAAAAAAAAATTTCTTCAAATTTTACAATTTATACTAAACATAAAACATAATACCTGATAATTCAACAAAATATTTAAAAAACTAATAATTCATGAAAATATATTTCTCATTTTAAGTTGATAATAGCATAGATTTAATGATGCTATTTTAATAGATGAGCTTTCTTAGGTTGAATATAACCTATTCAGTATGTCTGACTCAATTATATTTTGGTTTAAAACTTCCTATTTTTCTGTCTATGAAGATTATTAAATTATATATATACATCTTATTATTGTTTTAAGTCTAATAGTTAACACCATTTATTGTTTTTAAATGTGCCAATAAGGTGAAAAGGCATTGGGAAACCTGAAGAGTCAAAGAGGAAATAAAATCAAAGACAGCTTTACAAAAAGTTTTTGGTTCAATTTTAGAGTTGGGATTGTTCAAACAAAATGTTTGAATTGCATGAATGGGGAAATTCTAGGACCAGGAAGGATATTTTTAAGTATGTAGAAGAGGACTTGAGCAGATTTGTACACACATTTTGGGTCTATAAGTGCTATGTAATTGTTACATCCAATAAATGTAAAGTGCAGCAAATGTGTATGTAAGTGTGTGCAAATCTATTTGAGGCATGGAAATCATTATAACAGTATTGAATAAGAGACAAAAATAAGTTACAATTCATGTCAAGCTTGTAAAAAAAATGCCAGCAGTTTTTTTTTCTTCAAAATCCAGTCCATATGATCCTCCCAAATTTAATTGCACATATCTTTCAATGCCTTAAAATAAAGTATAAACTTATCTTGTTCAACTATTTATCTACTTAAAATAAAAGCAACAGAAAATTATCTATTTAATAAAACCAATTTTTTAGTTTGTATTTACTCGATTTACCATAAAATTAATTTGGCTGATATTTTTATAGGATCCCTTTGAAGGATATTTAAATAAGGCCAAGATTGTAGAAGGTACTGGAAAGAAAAAAGTTAAGTAAGTATATTATAACTCAAAACATACAGCAGCTATTGCAATGAAAATAACAACAAGAATATTTGACAAGTATCTTTAATGCTGGTATAAATTTGACTATTAATGAACTACACTAATTCATGGGAAAAAAACTTATTATATAGCAATATTTTTCTTTTAAAATAGGGATTATAGGCACTTGTATGCAATAGGCATATTTGTTGAATACAATTATGTTAGAAGGATGTTAAATATGGATAGAAATAAAACAGTTTACTGAATTACTTAATTTTAGGGGGGGGGGGGGGGGGGGGGGGAAGTTGTGATTTTATTTCAAAATGAGATTAACTTTTTTTTTTCTGTTTTTTTTTTTTAATTAGGAAAAATTGGTCTCAAATTTACTTGGTACTTCAAGAGACAAATTTAATATTTTACAAAGATCAGAAGTCAACAGCACACAAACCCGGCTCTCCCCATGGGAGACCAGAAATGGTTGTTAGCCTTCAGGGAGCTAAAGTGGAATTTAAGCCATCTAAAGAGTTTACCAGCAAAAAGAATACCATTTTGGTTTGTAACATATGTATTTCTATGGTTACAAAAAGGTTTGATAGTATAAACAATTTTTTAATTAAAAGTCTGTTACCTAACTTAATACTTTCTTTTCAACAAAACCAATAACAAAATATTTATCTGTTTGATATTATTGTGGCTTTTTAGACAAATTTATTTATAAATGAAGGAAAAGTGTACTAATATATAAATTAAAAAAAAAATTATTTTATAATTTTGTTCTTTTCTTTTTTTCAGTTACATGCAAATTCAGGCATTTTCTTGTTACAGTCAGACAATGAAAAGAATATACGGGAATGGTTTACACGCTTGAAGATAATTGCAAATGATATGTCTCCTGTAGGTTACTTTGACTGTTGATGAATACTATGAAATGAATTAACTTAATACATTGATTTTATTGTGTTTTATGTAAAAATGCATACTGGGTATGTCAAAAGTGTAGATAAAATTAGTACTTCTTTAACTAACTTAATTATAAAATACATTTTAGAAGAACCATTCACTTAAGGTCAGCTGCATTTATAATAAATTTATCAGCTAATACATTTTGATGAATGTATGTAAGGGATGTTTGGATAAACTTTTCACTTGCCTAATATATATTTCCTGTACAGTTGAAACACTTCTAAATTTATGATTTCCTCATACTTTAGGTTCCAGAATCTAGTCCTAGAGACTTTGATAACAAAGATGATAAAAAATCTGATAAAGGTAATATTTTTAAAAATAAATTTACAGAAATATTTTAAATGTAAGATCTCTTTGATCCTTCTTCATAGGAATGGTGCATTTTGTTGCTCACTTCAATATTTCTACATTATAATATTAATTGTTTTTTTTACAAGGAATGACGAGGAGTGTGTCAGCTGATGACAGTCCACAGAGTGTAGATAGAAAAAAGAATATGGTTGGCATTGGTGCCAAACTAAAAGGTCTTTTGAATCGTAGGCCAACAAAAGATGACTTAATTAAACAAGGCATTTTAAAAGGTATGTTGTTAATTTTTTCTAAAAGATGGGCCTAAAAAGATTGATATTTTTACTTTTTTTATTTTTTTCTGATCTTGAACACTGATTCCCTCACAAAATTTGGACAAATTCTTATCGTGCCATACTATTTTTATGAGTCTTGTTACAAGATTTGATGAGTTAACTAATCCTCATCCATACGCTGAGAGGTGTTGAGCTTAATTGCTCTTTATGTTCCTTGCTAGCACTTTGGCAATGAGCTCTATTTGCTGTGCTGCATAACATATCTATGACATAGGACCTGGTTTCTACCCTTGGCTCCCTAATAACAGAGCATTCATTCAGAAAGTGTTCTACTGTTCTGGGACTTGTATGTAATGTCGTCAGTTGGGGTCCCAGTTACATCTAGCTGGTCAAAGTAGAAATGTTTGAGTCACCAGACTCTACTATTTGCACTTCATTTTCATCATGGATTGCCTTTGTAGTGTGGAAACCTCTGCCATTTGTGCTGTCTATCCCCTGAACAAAATAATTTGTCCTGAAGTGGTCCACCAACCACTTCTAGTTACCGAGATAAGTTGCTGGATTTGATGGCTGTTGGCTGGAAAGCCCTGGTTGAGGGATGTGTTGTTTTTTAATAGCCCTAACATCTACGTTATCTCTGATGTGTTGCAGCTTAGCTTTGCCCCCATTTCTTTTTTCTCCATTTTGATGATGCCTACATCATCCAGTATGACTTCAACCGGCTAATTGCATCTTGCCACTTTTCTTTTTCCTAATTGGACTTCAAATAAGTGAAAATTACTTTGAGTCCTTTTCAATTCCCACCAGAGTTCCTCTTTTGATGATCATTTCACATTGTAAAGGGAAAATTTCAGGAAGCACTTCCAGACTAACCTTTGCCTCTAGTTCCACTGATACTAGTGCCAGGTCTGGGCTGCCAGGTCTGTGCAGGGCATCTGGATGTATTTTATTTATTATGGTAAAGGACTTACCAGCCCTAACTATTCATATGATGAGGGTATACTTACCACAAATATGTTTGTGCTTTCGCAAGCTTTTGACACTTTGTGGGTGTGCATTTGTACACTGAGGAGCCTCAAATGTGCAATGCGTGCGTCTTCAGAAGTGTCTAACTTTGTGAGTTCTGTGGTCTTTAGCCTGACACTGAAACAGCTAAGCTGTTATACTACAAGGTTTTGAGGAAGGTGATTCATGTCACTTTGTTTCCAGTAACAGCTATGCTATCACTCCAACTGTGGCACGATATGGGATGCGATGTGTAGTGAGGTTTAGATGGGTATGCCAGCTCCACATTACAAATTTTAGTTGTGCTAGCCATGTTACGATCCTGGAGAAAAATGTTGCTGCACTCCCCCACTTCTTCTTTGGAAACTGACAAATTGTGTGACCCAGTTGGCTACCTTCAATCGTACTGATGTACTTTATTAAAAATTAATCGGCAAATTATAATTAACTGTAATGATATAAGATTTGTATGTAACCTATTTTTTAAATATTTTTTTACAGATGCTGTTTTTGGCTCAAAGCTGCAAGAACTATGTGACAGAGACAAAAATAATGTGCCAAAGTTTGTACATGCCTGTATAGCAGCGGTTGAAAAAAAAGGTAATACTAATAATACCTTTGCCCATACCAGTGATAACCTGAAAAAATCTTGCATTGTTACTATTGTTACAACTTCTGTTACGTTATGGAGAAAAAATTTGTAATATTTTTTTCAAATAGAATCTTTTGATGAAAAATATTTTTTTGATGTGTGTAATTTCCTAGCAACATCTATGATTCTTAGATGTGGATATTACTGATACATTTGTAACAAAACAGTAATAATCAATTATAATTAATAACTTAGATTATAATGCACATAATAGTTATCCATTCTTTTTATTGGATTGTAAACATAAAACACATTTGTATTTTAATTGATGAGTCTAAATAGTGATGGCTGTTTTATTTATTTTTCAATTTCAAAAAAAGTTAAATAATGCTTGTGTGGTTGGTTATACAATGCCAAAGAATTTAAAACTTTGTCAAAATACAGCTATCCTTTCAAGTTGACTGTTATGTTTGTCAACAATTTTAAATTAAAGAAAATATATATCTTTAGCTTATTTGACAGCAGAAAAATCAATTTTACACTTCTAAAATATTATCTTATTTACAGGGTTATCTCATGATGGGCTTTATCGTATAAGCGGTAATATGGCAGAAATTCAAAGGTTGCGCTGCGCAGTTGACAAAGGTAAAGTTTATATTAAATATTTCTAACATAATAATTTGCTACCAAATTTAAACAAAACAAAAAGTGCTTGATTAATTAATAATGAAGATTTAGATATCAACATTCATTAGTGCGAATCTGAGAGTTAGCAGCCTGCTTAAAACTATTTAAAAACATGCAAGAAAAATCAAAACAACACATTTACTGTAGGGTTAACTATTTAAAAATTTCCAAGATTTAAAAAAAAAGACATTTTGTTTTAAATTACTCATTTGTAAATCATGTATTTTATAAGTTTAGCCTTAACTGCAAAATAATTAACAACAGTAAAATATGTGCATCATTTTATCATCAACCAGATGACTCCTACAATCTTTATGATGAACAATGGGACATACATGTGCTGACTGGGGCTTTAAAGCTTTTCTTTCGAGAACTTAAAGAACCTGTTTTTCCTTTTAATATGTACAACAAATTTTTAGATGCCATCAGTAAGTTGCTTTTTTTTTTCCCCCGCTGAGAAAAGTTAGATTTATTGACTAATAAATATGTATTTACATTTTTGGTTTATTGTTGATGCTATATTTAATAGCCTTCTACATATGCTTTTTATTTGTGTGATGTAGGTTTATATCCATACGAAAGCAGCAGCTAAAAGATTTTAAAGAATGTGATGCTTTGAAACTATAGTTAATTTTTTAGTAGTTTTTTTTAAAACAGATTGAAAAAACATTAATAGCTTTTACTCATTTTTCCAATTGGTTTTTCAGAAAAAGAGTTAAAGACTGAGAAATTATCATTATTCAAAGCAGCTGTTGCTGACTTACCCCGGTGCAATTATCACACACTCAAAGAGCTTTTCCAACATCTTCATAAGTAAGTCCAAATTTCTATATATGGAATATTTAAATTTTATTTACTTTTAATTAATGAATAACGGATTTATGTTTTTAATGTACCAATGCATTATAGTAAAGAAAGAAAATATGTTATTTTTTTTTTTTATTGTTGAAGGTAATTTTTTAATTTTTTATCAGTTTCTCAACTTTATTTTATCACCAGAGTTGTGGAAGTAAGTCATAGAAATCGAATGCAGACTCAGAATATAGCAATTGTTTTTGGACCCACATTACTGTGGCAAGAAGAGGATGGAGGAAGTTTGGCTGTGCAGACTGTGTACCAAAGTAAAATAGTGGAATATATGCTGTTGGAACTTAATGAATTGTTTAAGTGATCTGCCATTTATTTCTATTAACCAGCACCAAATTATTTGTTAAATTATTTTATTTTGATGTTTAATAATATATTTGTTAATTCATTCCTTCTTGATAAAATCTTCCATTTTAACTTAATGCTAAAAAAAAAGATCAGATAGGCAGTGGCATAATTGATACTGGTGTCTTTACTGGAATGCTCTAGCTTCCATTGATCTAGGGAGAGAGATGGTTCTCTGAGGTCACAAACAAAATGTCAGTTTAGGTCACAAATTTAATATAAAAAACAACAAATTTCACCCTGCATTGAGCAAATAAAAATAACTTACACTAGTTTCAACTCTGGATAAAATATTTATTAAAAAAACCCTCAAAACATTTCTATTTTTTTTTTTTAAACAATTATTTTTGTATTTCTTACTTCTTGAGGTTAATTTGTCTTAATTCTACAACTGTGAGATGCACTGGCTGCAATCACACTGAGTTTTCTACTCTTATATGGACTCTCATGTAACTTAGAAAACTCAAGCACAGGCAATTTATGTATCTGCAACTGTTGTTATACAGGTGACCTTTGTTATATCTCTGCTCTGTCTTATATATGAATTCATAATTCATTAAGGTATCTCATTGTGATGTGAAAAACTACATGTCCTGTTCACCCTATGACATTTGCAACTATCCATGCAGAGTAAAAATCATCTCAACCTTCCTCAGCCATGACCTTCACAAGTGGGTTAGGCATTTTAGACTTTATTAAGTTTCTTGAACTTGAAGTGTGCTTGACATGGGTCCTCATTTAAGATTTCTTTGCCCTCCTGAAAATTGTCCCACTTAAAATCCCACCTAGTTTTCATTTTGATGGTATTCAAAATAACAAGTTTTCTTGAGAAATGTTTAACCGAAACACATAAAACAATTTTTAAAAAAATATTTAATCATGTTCTGGGTTTCTGTTAAGCTATTTTTTTCCTACTGTTTTTGTTTTAATGGAATCAACAGGTTTTATTGTAGGTTTGCTTTATTTGCAATGATATATCTTTTCATATCAAAAGTCAAAAACATTATCTATAAAATAATATTTAGTTGTATTGAGTGATTTTTATTTCATATGCTGTATGTAAAGAAATACATTGAGCATGAAAATGAACAAAAAAGGAGTTTTGTACTCCAGAGAAATTTTCTCTTTTCAGTACTTATTTTAATTATATTGTAATGATGACCTGTCATAAATGACAAAGATTGTTTCTGACTTTGATTCAGGGGAAATGTTTAAAAATGAATTTGTATACATCAATTTTTGATTCTGTCATGTCATGACATCCACAAACCTGCACTTGATACCCCTTCAATTAAATAACTATTTCATTTTACCATAATTTAACTGGAATCATTTTCTTTGCAGATGTACAAAGTACACTTTCATTTACATTGTTAGGAACTTTAGACTAATAAGTTAAATATGGATTCATGTAAAGTTACCCAGCTTCTTTGAAAAATCTGTTTTCTTAATCCATTGTTATAGTCCCTGCCTATGAAATGTAATTTTTAAGTAAAATTTAAGTATGAAATATTTGATTCCACCATCTATTTTGACTAAAAATTTATATATATATATATATTATATATATATATTTAAAAACTGTCTGCTGAAAATCCCGCTCTATAATAAGGCAAGTCATGTGTGTCCATCAATTCCAAGCATATGGTTTATTGGTGGTTTCAGACTTATAGTGATATGAACAAGATGGGAAATTAAAAGCCTTTTAATATGACTTGAAGAGTAAAAGAAGTTTTTTGAGAATTGTGAAAGAAAACCCCTATTCCGCATTCTAAAATCAACTATGATCTATCTAAATAGATCAAGAGTGAGTTGTGTACTTTAATGATCCAGAAAGAACAACTACATACTTTCACAGTTAAAGAAAAACTGAATATTAGTCAAAGGCAAAAGTACAGTCCCTAGAAAATATTTAATGAATGTCATGAAAAATGTCATGACACTAGTTGTACCATGAACATCACACATTTCCAAATACCTATTGGTCGTTGTTGTGTTATATTTGGGCAGCCCCTCATTTTTTTTCTTTGTTTATACAATTATTTATGTGGAAATTTATTACCAGGTAATCTAATGCATGTAACAAATTAGATTTAAAAAAAAAAAATTTGGTCCTTGGTAGCATGTTACATAAGCTACTGGCATGCTGGATGATTAAAAATACATTTGCATTTTGTTATTTCAATATACAGTATTACCTAAGAGTTAATTGTCCCAGAGAGTTTATTTCATTTGTACATTCCTTGGAAGTACCAATTTATGCCATAGTCTTTCTTTCAGAATGCTTGTTGGAATAAAATATTTGATGTAAATAACTGTTTATTTAGCCAATGTTAAATAATATTTTGATGCTGGCCATGATTTAAAAAAATTCTATAAATAATTTATAGGTTTATTTTTTATACATAACTATCATGACTTTTGTGTATTAATTTTTTTTTTTGGTGATAAATACATCCTCTTGTTTCTATTATATCTTTGTTAAAATATAGCTAAAGAAAATAACAGTGTACTCCAATACAGCCACAAATATTTTTTTAGTAAAATCTATATCTGAAAAAGATTTTCCTTTGGGTTTCCATAACTTTCATCATTTTATCTTTTTTTTTCAATTTTGTCTTTCACATAGTGGCTGTTTTTCTTATTTAAGAGAAATAAATAGTTGTGATAGATATGTTTCCTTATATCTAAACAAGAAATGGTTGTCATTGTACATAACTATAAAATGAAAGGAAGCAATATTCCTTTGCGCATAATTGTATTTAAAAGCAAGTATATGCATGAGCTTTATCCCCAAGCTAAACATAGTTTTAATTTCTTTATTAAATTTTGTTGTTAATGTATACGTAAATGGTTTATTTTCAAAGTTCAAGAGTTCTTTTTGTCATTAAAAGTATTTTAAAAAAAATAATTTAAGGGTTGCTGACACTGTGTCAAATAATTGCATAGAAAATTTGAGAAAACCCTGCGTTTATGAACTAAACACTGCAAAATTTTTGTAAAAGACATTTGGCAAGTGCGCTGATGATCATGTAAATATTTAAAAATGGCATTTGACTACATTAAAATGTTAAATGTGTTGTGCTGCTTATTTCTGCTAGTTTTATGGGCCTTCCAGTGACAACACAGGCTCTTTTAAAGTGATGTTATTAATAGATTTTATTTAAAGGTAAATTTCTTGGGGGGCGGGGGGGGGTAGGTACATATATTTATTGATGGGATAAAACATTTTATTAGTCAGAAAGAGCCTCTCTAGTCTTCTCATGTGATTTCACAACCATAAAATTAAACTTTTAGTTCACCTTTGTATTTAAAATTTGCATCTAATCAAAACTTCTTTTTACCTTCAATTTTATGTTGTGGACTTAAAATTTTAATGCAATTTATAGAGCCAATATATAAAATAATTGTAGAAAATCAAAATATCAGTGTTTCTTCTAATACTTCTTAAAAAGTTATCAGTGTGATATAAAATAGGTATGCTATGAAATACTTTATTTCAAACATTACTGGGGTACTGTATTGCTCAGACTTCTAGATAAATTAATGAAATGAAACATTTTTCAGTTTGGGACTATATGAAAGAGTAAATAAACGAAATTGTTGAAATAGATTAACATCATTCCACGGTTTCTGCACAAAAATAAATCGTAGAATAAATATCATGGTCATGTCCTGCTACTAAGTACTTTGCATAGTTCCATTTATAAATTCTGAAATATGATACAGAAATCTGTATTTGAAAAATGTAAAAGCCATCAGCTAAGTTAAGTTATCTCAACATACAGATTAACAGAACCGGTATATTGTTTAATATTAAGTACTCTGTTGCTGACATACCATATTTTATTAATCGAAACACCTAAGCTTTTAACTCATTTCGAATGGTCATAGAAAACTTAGTTTTTAACATGGTCAACTGAAAAATATCAAACCTTAAATTACTTGCTTTTAGCAAATTTGTTCTTATTCTTTGAATGATGTGTAAATGGCCAGGTTAAGTTATACACATATTGAATCTTGCCCACCACTTCAATGTGCGAACATGATTATTACTAAATTAGTTATTTGGTAAGGACATGCATGAGAAATATTTGTTAATAACGATTGTAAATAATCTTTGTAAAGGTATAAAGATATACCAGGATTAAATAAATTATTTAGTCTTGTTAACTGAAATCATAACATTTGTTTGTTGTATTATGATTTACATGAAAGTTTATTTCAAAAACAAAATTTCCATTCAGTGGCACACAAGATTATAAATGCATAATAAATACAAAATTATTATGATCACATTTTACAAATCTTTTTTCAACTACATCTATATTAACTCTTTCGCTGCAGCGCAATGCATTCATTCGCAGTCCTAAAAAGCACGGACCAGCATGCATTGCGTTGTTTCTATATCATGTTTGTTTCTTTGCTACTTGTTAAACTTTTATAGACTTTTTAAATAAGACTTTTACATAGAAGAGTGGTACTTGTTTAAAAGCGAAACCAAGATTTATTTGTTGTCATTTAATTTGAAGCATTAATTTAATGATTTTCTTTGCTGTTTTTTTCTATATCAATACTGTTGCTATGGCTACCCTAGGCCCTTTTAGGTGAGTAAGTTTCCTAGAGGATTAACAGCTCAAAAAGCTTTCGAATTGTTTTATACTATATCTTTTCATAGTGAAGATGATTTATATTTAGATCCATCGCATGATTCCGATAGCAGAAGTTATAGAAAATTTGAGTTATAGAAGTGAAGATGAGGTATGAATACATCATAGGGTTTGGGGACAAAATGGTTGTGCATATAATATTTTCACATTTTATGCTTCTTTTCTGTTACTTACTTTATTTAAACGGACTGTTCCTTACTTTATTTAAACTGAAGAAATAAGTTTACAAACATTAAGTCCATTCAATTATCTTTCATTTGATACCAAGTTTGGTCTTATAAACCAAACAATTATATTTTAAATATTTTTTAAGAAACCCTACCTCTCACTCTTTTTTGCTCTTTGACAAAAATGTACATATTTTCGATAAAAAAATTCCACAGCGAAAGAGTTAAATGTTAAATTTGGCAGCGTAATAGTGATTTAAGAAAAAAGATTATTGTAAAGAAAAAAAGTATTTCAATAGTTAGTTTGTCTGGCATTGTGGTTAAGTAAATTTGGTGTAGGGAAAAGGAAATTAAGTTTAAATCAATAGATGAAGTTTCAGCTTAATTAAGCAGGTGCATATCTAGATTATTGAACTTTGAATTTTGTATACCAAGAATAAGCTTTATTATTTATAACTTGGTGGTGATGACAGAGAGGGATCTCCTATGCCAAGTGCTTACAAAAAAAACCAACGGACCATGGTGCTGTCATTCACTTCTTTAAAATTATTATTAGCAATATTAACATAGGGAGGACATGGGGTTAGCTTGGCACAAACAAACCTTAATTGTAATGGACATGTCTGCAATCAAGTTTGAAATTAAAACAATTTGTTACACAACTTATTTTGATACAAAAATGACAATTTCAAATAAAGGTGAGATGGTCAACACATTATAAGCATGCATTACTTACTTCAAAAAGTTTATGTTAACCATTCCCTAATGCAGTTTCTGACACCAACACATGGGAACATTCAAAAGAGCTACATCCGCAAACCAAATTAATTAGGCTATAGGTGCATGTATAGATCTTTCAGATTGCTAAAAGTAAAAGCTATAATATTTTCTTACCAAAAAGGTTACTGAAGCTAATAAGTCACTTAGCTATAACAAAAATTTTTAAAAATTTGTTTTAAACACAAATCACTTCAACTTTCATTTTCTCCAGATAAATTAGGTCAACCTTTACAGTCATTGAAACAAATCATTTCAAAATATATACAATTAAATTTTAAAACGCACTAAAAATATTTGCTAATAAATAAAAAGATTGACAAAAGAAATATTTTTAAAAAGTAATTATTTAACATAAGTAGGAACAATGAAAAATTACTCATAACACAAGATAATTTCCCAACAAGCTATGTAACAAATCGGCCGACATTCTCGTTCTGTGCTGTGGCGGCTGAAAAAATCGCGGTCCGATAGCAACTTCCAATCCAATATTTAACCGAAATCGTAGCCATTTCCTTCTATTAATAACTAAATCAACTTCCGGGTGAAGCTGTTTCTTGATAACTTAACAAAAGTACTTTTTAATCTGAATTTTATATCGCTTATATTTTTTTAAAGCAAAAATGGCGGAAGCTATTGCCCGGCCTTTAGTGCGAGAACTAATAGAAATAGGTGCCTATAAATATTTTTGAAAGCTTTTTATGAGAGGATTTAAGTGATACTGATGATGATTTTAACATTCCCCATGACATCTCACTTCAGATTCTTCTTTTCGTGAATCTGATACTAGTCTTAGTGATACTGAAGTAGGCCTACTGAGGCTGCTGTTTGACTTCGAGCCGGCACGGAGATTGGGCAAGGACTGACTGAATTTTAGTCACAAAAGCTACAGATTATAGATGAGAACTAATAAATTTGATAGTTTAACAACTCAAATCAGTTCCACAGTTCCTTTTTAAATGGTTACTAGTCAATAATAACTATTTTGCCTGAGATTTTGTATTTAGATTTTAGCAGTTGTCTCAGTTTCTTATATAAATGACCTAAAATTGCTTTCAAATGTGTAATTGCAATCAAAACCTTAGCAAACTATACATTTTCTGATTGATAAATGAATTGGCTACAACATTTAGATTTGTGTTTAAGTGTATCTATAAAAATTAATGATGTTATGAACGCTTGAAAGAGACATTTTGTCGATTTTTATTTTCTTGAGAACTTCAAGGTCAAGGACACTGAGCAAAAAAAAATTTTTATGGGGTGGGCAATATGGCCAACTTTATCCCCATCCATTTACCTTTCTAAAAATATATACTTGTACTTATAGGGGTCTTGCATCAATATTTCTATGTCATTTAATGCAATTTCAAAAGGCATTCAAACAGTTCTGAAAAGCTCCACACCATAGAATGATGCAAGCCACAGTTCGAGTGTTAAAGATAGACTGTCATGATCCTTGAGTACAAATGCATTTGTCAGGCCCCCTCCCCATATCTAAAATTATAACCACTCAACGCCCCTCCTAACCTCAACACCCTTAAAATAAGAACTGACAAAACAAAATGAAAAAAAAAAAAGAATCTGAACACAAATTAAAATTGGTATCAGGTACATTCAAAAGAAAATCTTAACATGTAATTAGTTACACCTAACCCTAACCCTTGCCAGGAATTACAGTTTATTATATTCACTTTTTCAAATACATTTACAATTGTATTGACCAATGGAAGACGTTGAAAAAAGTATCATATTTTATAATTACCGATAATTCAATATTAACTTTTAAAATCAACTAATTATAAAATTATTTGCAGAGTTGTTTTCATTTAAATTCAATATATCCCTATAAATAAATGTTACTTAGAATATTTTTCATAAAATTAAAATGCTTAAAGTTTAAAGCCTAAATATTACTTGTTTGTTTTGTGAAGAAAAAAAGTCGATTTTTAATGCATATGGCTATGACAATACTTTTTTTTATACTTTATAGGCATTACTTTGTAAATTCAAATTTTGATATCTGGATGCCTCAGTCGATATTTGATTACAGGATTTGTTGGTGTGTGGATCATGGTGGACACATTAACTTCTGGAAAGTAACCATCTACCAAATCAAGTTCATACTTTCGTATCAAGATTGAGAAGATAGTTTTAATTTGCACATAGGCAAAGGATTCACCAATACATCGATGACGCCCGGCTCCAAATGGTATATATGCAAATTTCTCACTGTTGGCCACCTCCGGATCAATAAATCTGAAATTTATTAAGATCCTTCTTTACAATTCAATCTAATCATATGTATTACAAAACAACATTTAATTCACTGTACCCGGTACATATTGTACATAACAAGTACTGCCCATAAGTAATTCTAATATTAAAATCAATACAGCATATCTATTTATTAGGTAAATGTGATAACATTAGACTATCCATTATTTTCCATAGTTATGAGGTTAACATTATTTGAATTGAAAATATTTATTGCGCTATTTTAAACATTACCGATCAGGAATAAATTTGTCAAAGTCCTTCCAAGTGTCAGGAAGACGATGATTAGTAGTGGGAGACACACACACTTGGTGACCAGGTGGAATTGTGTAGCCAAGCACATTCTTTGAGAAAAATGTCAAAATTTGAATGTCTAGTATTCTGAATTTTATTTATCAACTTCAGCATCAACAATAAAATTAAAATAAACTATTTCTCACCAATAAAATTCACAAATTAATTGATTTGATGATTTGAAGTGTTAAACAAACTAAATGGGCATTTCTCTCTGCAAAAAAAAGAAAAATTACCTGGGAAGTCCTGCACATGCGCATCATCGTCATAATTGGTGGTCTAAGTCTTAGGGTTTCTTTAAGACAACGGTCAAGCAGTGACATTTCCTTCAACTGGTCATAGTCCAGAGGAGCAAAACCTTCTCCACAAACTTGTTTCTGCTCTTCATAGACTCTGTCCTATGCAATGTAATAAATGGATATTATAAAAACATTTTTGTGGGTTTGTGGCTTTGTTTGTTCCACAAAGGCTTTTACATGGATTGATGGATCTTGACCAAACTTGGCACATATATCCATCATTATCCGGAAGGAACTCTTAAGGGGTTATGAACTTTTCATTACATTCCGTATGGTGCCTGGGACCCCGAATTTGTTTTTTTCCTTATATGAGCTACAAAAATAAATAGATAAAAAAATAAAATTAACAACAAATACTCCTACATGAGTAGATGGATCTTGACCAAACTTAGTACACATATACTTTATTATCCATATTCAAATACCAAAGGGCACTTAACTAATAATATCCATTCTTTTGGGGCTGGGGGCCCAATTTCATTTTTCCTTATATAAGCTATATAAATATCAATAGGCTTAATACTCCTACATGAATGGATGGATCTTGACCAAACTTATTACACATACACATGATCATCCATATTCAAATACCGAAGGGTACTGAACTCATAATATCCATTTCTCTGGGGCCCCCAGTTCATTTTTCCTTCTATAAGTATATGAATATCAAAAGGGTTAGACAACGGTACAGGTTCTATGTGAATTTATGGATCTAAGCCTAGCTTTGTTCATTAGGCTTCTTAGTCCGTATTGAAATATCGGTGGATTTAAAACTAATAATATGCAATCTAGAATTTTCCAAAAATAATTAGAAAAGTAGTTTTACACGTTTCGAGCAGGTTATTAAATTTAATCTAGAATGTTCCAGAAAGTTCTAAATTGTTCCACGGGGATATACAGTGGGATCTAAGGGATAATGAAATTTTAGTCAGTTCTTTTCATTTCCATTATTTCCCAGAGTTTACTGTTCTCTCAGTAATACTGATTAATTTTTTTTATACGGAACCCTAAAGGGGTCGGGATCCCATCATAATCTTTATCCCAAAGGGATCAGGATCCCACCTGGATCGAAATCCCAATCTTGAATGGATCCACTGGGATCGGGATAAAACGGGACTGCGCCAGGATCGGTGTCAGAATGGGATTCGGGTTCCAATGGGATCGGGGTCACACAAGGATGGGGTACTAATGCAATCCTGTGCAACGCCGGGTATATTGGCTAGTAAATTATAAATTAAGAATTACATTTTCAGCATTCATAAGTGAATAATATGAAGGAAAAAAAAAATGAATTAATAAATTCTTTTATGAATATGAAGGAAAAGTATTGCTATACTAAACTTTAGAAAAAATCAACAGAATATCAAATTGTCTGACTTCTGGACATCATAGAATCCATGAGTGAAATTAAACCATGTATTGTAAGTTTTGGCCAGAAATTCTGAGTTTCAAGATCTCCTGATATGAAAAATTAGTTACTTTGTTAGTACAAGTACAAGGGAAAGTGAAAATGAGAAATAAATCATTGGTGAGGAAAAAAGATAATAAATATATTTTAAATTGCTTGCAACAAAAATATTGATTTACATACCTGAAGTTCCTTATCTTTAGCCAAAAAGAAGCCGAGCCATGAGCTTGTGGTGGATGATGTATGCTGTCCAGCTAACAAAAGCCCAATTAGCATACCAGAGATTTCATCATCTGTTAGTGGCCTTCCAGTCCTGATTTATTGTATAAAGAATATCTTTAATATTTGTATTTTTTTTAAATAGTTGCCATTTTTACACAATATATGTTAGCCATTTAACTGTAATATATAAAAGATTGTCAAATAATTTTTTATACTTGATCTATCGAAAAAAAGTAACAAATAACAGTAGTGTAATGGCCTAATGGTATGCCAATTTTCTCTCTCAAATTAAAATTCTGATAAGTTGAAATGTTTGCCAATCAGGAGGTTACAAAACAAAATTAATTAAATATATCTTGATTTCAATAACTCTTATTCAGTACATACTTATATTTTGAATCAATTAGTGTCTGCAGCATATCATCATCAGGATTTGGATCAGCCCTTCTTTTACTTATCACTTCATGAAATATTTTTTTCATCTCTCTTTGGGCTCTGTCCCTTTTTCTGCATTAAAAAAATCTGTTGTTATTTTACATGTTTCAAGATGAACAAAAATGTATTTTCTTATATTCTTAAACAGGGTAACAGAAACAAAAAACAGAAACTTTCATAGTGTTAAAGTACTAACCTAAAGCTTGGAAATGGTAACCAACCAGGTAATAACCAAGCTAAGTGAGTGAAACCACCATCCAAATCTGCATACAACTGAGCAACATGTTCATCCAGACGTGTACGGATTTCACGACCTCAATAAATATAGATTTAGAAATACATTTTTATGTGGACAAGGCTGAGGTATCAATATTTATTCCAGACTAGAGCCTCATTGAGAAAGGATGAATCTACATAACAAAGTACGCAATGAAGTTCAAAATAAATAAAACAAACTCAAGATGTCTCATCTAGAATAGTCTTAGAGGAAAACATACCCTTCCCTACTATTCTAATGGCTATGTTTGTAATGCATTACTAATATTTTATCCTAGTCACAAACATAGGAAATGGCCCATTTTACACTCATTGTAAATCTGCTTTCAACTGTCAGTGTTTAACATCCAAAATAATAAAATAAAAATCTTGATCCTTTGAATGCCATACTAAATATCTTTAATGCACCATTATTAAAAATGTAAGCCTTAAAAAAGGACAAAACTATATTTAGAAAAAATAGCCAATTAATCAGAATACAGCTTTTCAGAAGAATATTGGTGAAACTCAACTTTAAAAAAATGCAATACTTACCATGCAAACAATGACTGGCAGTTAATATAATAAGCTCAGAGAGAGCTTGAAAGAGATCTGTTAGAATATAAAAGATTTTAATGTAAATACTGAACATAAATGAGTGAGTAATTTTTGAGACTTAAATAATCTTTTTTCAATTAGATTTTTGCAAACAAACGTAAAACTTTATCGTTCAGATTAAGTGCGCCCAGTGTGAGAAATTGGGTGTCATATGATATTTTACCCAGCATATTACACTATTTTTATGTATAAAGCAAATATTTTAACAAAATTGAAATAATTAGTGTGTTTTACCATTTTGGCCACTGGCTCCCCATCTTTTGAAATAATCTTTTGTCTCCTCTTCAATGATATGAACATGTTCACGAAATCTAACTATGTTTAAACCAGTCTTAAACATTTTCTTTTGCTCCATAAAAATCTGAAATGATAGCAAATCTTGCAAAATAATCTGCTTAACAATGTGCGGGGCCAAGGATAGAGAACTCCGGCAATTTCGCCAGGTGGAAAAAGGATGGAGTTAACTTTTTAAAAATATTTAGTTAAGAATTAAAATTTATATTGTTATAAAAAGGATTTAATTTATAAAAATGAAAGTTTGAATTATAATTATCAATTTTTATAAAACAAAATTTGTTTTTAAATTATCCCGACTGAGACACATTTTACGTCATATATTTTATTTTCTTGTCGCGACTTGAACTGAGTGAGCTGCTTCAATAAAAAATTATTATAAAAAACAAAATGAGTCTAGAAAACATTTAAATTGACTGACATGAATCCCTAAGTGACTCTTTTGATAATTGGGATACAGATCAATATGAAAAAAAAAACATCAGATGAACACGTGGATGTTTTTTTTACCTACACAAGTACGGTTTCAAACAAAGTCTAGCTATCCACTCGATTAGGCCAATAAAATTAACATTTCTAAAAAGTCTGAACAACCAAATATATTGTACAGTTTAATAATAGGTTCTTAATTTTAGTCTAACAATGTTATGATAATTTTATTTTCCAATCATGTTTTGGCTTTACAAATTAAGAAAAAAAAGTTTTTGTTTAAATAATCAGCTGATCAAACAGCTGATTTAGTTTTCATTGTTTTTGTTGTGTTTTTGTCTTTTGCCTAACTCTAACAAGTAAATAATGGCAGTTATTAATTTATTCATCATAAAATATGTTACTTGGTAGTTTATTTCATATAGCCTTATATTTAAAATAATCTACTGTGTAGATAATCTACTAATCTACTTGTTTCTAAATCAGTGCAGATAATACATTGCCAATTGTCTTGGACTCAGAACAAAACATATGAAGATGTGAACCAGCGTCCCGCTAAGCAGAAAATATCTAAATTTATCCCTAAAAGAAAACATGGTCTTAATACTCTGGATTCTGAAAGGCAGGCATATGAAATGATATGCAAAAAATAAAAACTGCAGGTAAGGAATATTTGATATCATAATTGCAGTACTAATGAATGATATTTAGGCTATAGCTATAGGTCAAATATTTAAGGTTTTATGCTTGATAATTGTTTGGGCAAAAAATATGTCACTTTTCTTATCTTAACATTATATAATAATTTATGTTATTATAAATGTTATTATTCTTATACTATTGTTATGTCTTTGTTAGATCAATAAATTCTACTAATTTGTCACGTTAACATGCAATTTACAAATAAACTATTTTTCATCCACATGAGATTTCTTCAAACACTCTGAGGAGATCATGTTGAAAATTTGAGACTACACCAATGCTTATGCCAACCACATGAGAGAAGAAAAACAGTACCTCTAACTAACTGGAAGAAAATAACATTACAGAACTCAACATTTGTTTTTGTTTACATAGGCGGTGTTACTTCGAAAAGAAAGAGCGCCAGACTGTAATGGTAATTAAATGTTTGAAATGTGATTAAACATTTCTGTCTAAATAAGTGACATAATTGTTAGTTAGAAAATCCCCTTAGCCCAGAAGACTCTTAGACTGTGTTTGTATTTGTATTTTCTATTTATTAATTTTTTTATTAAAATTTCAATAAATACAAAAATTAAATTACACAAATTAGTTGTTATAATGTATTAAATGTATTTGTATTAAATATGAATTTTAAATATTAAAAAAAGGTTTTAAACTTTGCATTTGAATAATTCTGCATGCTAAGTTCACTTGTCTAAATTTAAATGCAAAAACTCTATGCCTGTTTCCTAAACAAAAAAAATATTAAAAGAAAACTAATGGTTGTATTTGTAAAATTCTTTTTTAAAATTTTTTATATCATATTGCAGAATTAAATTCCAATAAATAAAAAACTACGTCTACCATAGTTTTTTTTCTTCTTCTTACACTATGCTGTTTGTGTGAAAAAAATGTTAAAATTTAAAATAATTTTAACAAGTCAATCATGATTGAAAGAAAACAATAATTTTCAAGCACATTTTATAGAATTTGAATCCCTATTCATTTGTGAACAATTAAATATTAAACATGATGGGTATTAATTAGCTACTCTTTTTATGGTATCTCATTATGTGAGATGACCTTTAAAAAAAAAAAAAAAAAAAAAAAAAAAAAAAAAAAAAAAAAAAAAAACACAGAAAAAAAAAAAAAAAAAAAAGAGAAGAACAAAAAAAAAAACATCAGCCTGCAGAGAGTTAAAAATGACAATGATTAATTATTTCATGTCAGTAATTATTACAAGTAATTATTATTAGTGCTTGTCTTTAAATGTCTTATTCGGTCGCTTCAAATATATTTTTTTTAATAATAAAAAAATAAAAGAGAAAGTTTTGATTTATGCAGAATTTGTTTATTGAAAGGCTGCTCATATAAAATCTAAACGACAACATGAAGAAAAAATCCCAATGTAAATAATTTAAGAGAGCTAAAACAAGATTGTTCCTTGCCAATTGTTTATATTATTAAAAAAAAAAAAAAAAAAAAAAAAAAAAAAAAAAAAAAAAAAAAAAAAAAAAAAAAAAAAATAATATATTTTTTTTAATAATAAAAAAATAAAAGAGAAAGTTTTGATTTATGCAGAATTTGTTTATTGAAAGGCTGCTAATATAAAATCTAAACGACAACATGAAGAAAAAATCCCAATGTAAATAATTTAAGAGAGCTAAAACAAGATTGTTACTTGCCAATTGTTTATATAATTAAAAAAAAAAAAAAAAAAAAAAAAAAAAAAAAAAAAAAAAAAAAAAAAAAAAAACAAAAAAAAAAAAAAAAAAAAAAAAAAAAAAAATCAGATATACAAACAGATGTGTATATATATAAACTTACTGAGTTTGGAACATCATAGGCAACTCCTTTACCAAATACTGGTGTGACTAGACGACTGTAAACGTCCTCTGCATTTAAATTTTCATTTTTACTATTGAACATAAGAGCAGAAGATTCAGATCCAACAAGATAGGTGAAGGTTTTCCCCACCATTGTAAAGCTGAAAACTGGGCCATACTATAGAAAAAGGGAAAAAAAATTGTAGATTGATTTTTCAATTGTCATTTGTAATTAGGTGCCATTCATAAATGATATCATACTATTTTTCCTCATTTTGGACTCTTCTTTATCACAAATTGCTAATCCCCCTTCCCCCTAGATGTGTGATGTTTAAAGATGGCTCCTTATTATAAATTTATCATCAACTAAGCATTTTTCAGAACTTTTTCTATGTTAAACCCATAATTACCATTACAATACTGCACATACACCCAGTATAACTTCTTAAATCTCATTAGTTACGCAAAAAAAAAATAAAAAATTGTTGATTTAAAGTTCTCATTTCACCCCTACACAAACTTATTTTGCCAGCATTATAACTATTTATGCTGATTGCATTCACAATTGAAAATTTTCAGGTCTTTATTCTTACACTTCTTTTGTCTGTGCATGCATATGGTTATATTAAAATGACAGATCTGGCAATGATTCCCTTCCTTTCTTTAAAAATCTCTATCCAGTATTGGAAAATAACTCACTGCCATAAGAAAATGAAAGGGAACTAAGAGTTGCTCTCTTAAAAAAATAATGAGATAATTTGTCAAATAAATTTGTATTGCTGTGCCATACTAGAAATGGTATTGTACCCTAGTAATACAGGTCTATGAAATGAGAAATTAGTTTAAAAATAGCTGATTTCATACCAATGACAGACAGGCCTTCCAGTAATATTCTAACTACCAATGACAGACAGGCCTTCCAGTAATATTCTAACTACCAATGACAGACAGGCCTTCCAGTAATATTCTAACTAGGTATAGATCCAGAAAACAAGACAGCGTTTTACATGTGTACATGTGCTATAATCACAAATAAATAAATACATTTTTTCTCTTTAAGTATATAATTCACCAAAATTATTCAATTGTTTTGTTGCAAGCTGCCTTGTAATAAACCAGATGGTAGTTAAGGACTATTTTTCAGAACTTCTCACCTTAAGGATCTCTTTTAGATGTTATAATAAAATTTACAGAAATTCTAGAGAACTAAATATCCAAATTCAAAGGAAAATAACTTACTTTTTCATAAGCTGCCAAAAGAAATTCAATAGGACTTGAACCAAAGCTCACTGCTTGTCCCAGAAATGGAATCGTTGATGGTATAAAGGGTGGTGTTATACCTTGAACCTGGCATTAAAAAAAAATCAGCATTCTTTTATTAATTTATATTTTTATGCTCGAAGCAAATGAAAATTAATGAATACTATATAGGTGGTGAAAAACTATTTTTATTACGAATAAAAATATATATAAGAAACTAAGTCACAGGTTTACAAAATGCTGCTTTTCATGCTGTTCAATGCTTCCCAAAATGTGCAAAGGCTGATCTGGCACTAAATTTCACCTTTGGTTGTATATATAATTAAAGTTTTTGATAAGCTTAACATAAATAAATTTGACTTCTAGTCTCACAAGAATGTAATTCTTTATGAAGTAATCCGAATGTTTTTACATTTCTTTTTTATTCCATTTCTAATAGAGAGCTAGAAGTTTAGCCTTGTTTTCAAAGCTCCTGAGAAGTTTATTATCAACCAAGAACCTTGAACCTATCACAGACTGATGTAGAATTGACTGATATTGATGCCTATCATCCTATGATTGAATGAAGATGACTCTGAATAAATCTTTAATTTTAAAGTTATTTCTAGGAGGCCTACATGGTCAGTCCTTTCATCCGCCCTTCAACTGATAAAAAATATCAAACATGTTGATACCTTTAAGTCCTGTGTGAGTGACAATGAGCACACAGAAACTTAATCTAATCAATAATTTCCATAATCTCAGTAAACAAGATTAAAAAAAAAAATTGCACCACTATCCTGGCTGAGCCTGATGCACACAGCATTTTTTCATCCCTTTCATTGAGTTTAGACAAGATAAATTTATGTAATCATCTTGTTTGTAGCCACCTATGAACCACCCCCTAAAAATTTGGGATTAAGAATTGAAGAATTGTTGACGTGGTCACTGTAAGACTTGCCTTTATGCCATTTAGACCCAACAGATAAACCTTCCCAAGGTTAGATTTCAGATGCATGATGGTTAATCATGTATTAGTTGCAATGTCCTTTACACCATTATTTGTCATTGCTGTCAAATGTTTCACATTGGTCGAGCTGTATGGCTACTTTCAGACAGATTTAGCTTACACCATCACAATGATAAAGACAAACATCCTGTCTTGACTCTTTTCAATAAAATTGATTACAAAAGTGCAACAGATGTGTCCATAATGGCCTTTGCGCCACCAACAGGCCAGCCAGGGTGAGGTTGGAGAGTAGCTTGATACACGTTCAGGCCGCTAACATCAGAAGGAATGAATGTACGGTGTTCTATAACAACTTTTTCTCTGCACCAGTTCTTGTTTATATTGATTCATTGTGTACTTTCTATCTTTTTTTTTTTTTTTTAGTATTTACTTCTGTACACAATCTTACTTCATAATAACATTCTCTCGGACTTCACACAGCATAAGATAAGTTCATTATTAATTTTGTTTGCCTTTTCTTCATAGTTCCTAATATGTATCAAGCTTTTTAAAAATATTCACTTAAACCCTATCTATGCTAAAGCTATTTATTACTTCTAGCATGTCAATTTTATCCATACATGAATATATAATCTTTAAAATGTAAGCCAAGTCATCATCATCAATGGCGCCACAGTCACAGCCCATGGAGTAGAGACCAACGGAAAGAGATTTTTTTTATTCAGACCGAAAGTTAAAAATGATTTTCGTTAGAAACCAAAACTTTAACAAGGCTTTCGGCCGAAACCGAAACATTTAAATATTTCAAAACTTGTTTTCTCACATGTTCTGCGTACTGCGAAAAAGGACTGAACAATTTTTTTGGCAATTTTTATTACCCAAGGAAGTGAACCTCTCTCACCCTTTGCTTTTTTTGCAGTGTAACTAAGTGACTCACTTTGACCATCGGTAAGCAATAAACGTCTTAACTACTTTTTGTTTAGCCAACCAAACTTATTGGGATCTAAACCTCCCTGTTCATCATCCAAATATCTGAATAAATATAATCTTTTTTTTTTTTAAATGTAATTTTAGAATACAGAAATCATTTCAATACCAAATTTAATTTAAGCGTGCTTCCACCTAGTGTAACTAGGCCCCCAGTATAAAATATTTGTTATAGTAGGTTTATATTACATAAGCCATTTATGAGCATGATGAAGATGAATGTCAAATAAATAATTAATTGAATAAGCTTAGGGATCCCAAATTAAAAAGAATAACAGAATAATTAAACAAATAATAATGAGAATTTTACCATTAGGGTTCCACAATACTATTTACCTTTGACTATGAAAAGATAATGATAAATCAAAATGTTTGTCACAAATGAATGATTTGAATAAACCTAGGGTTCCCAAGTTAAAAAAATATTTTTTTTAAAATAATAATATTAATATTACCATTCCCCTAGTAGTTTTTTTTCCACAAAACTATTTACCTTTCCTTTTGCCTTATTGAAATTTTTGTGTGGAAATAATGGACAAGTAAGTTATCATGCATGCAGCTGTGAACAGTGTTTGCAGAGGATTTGTTATAAATTATAAGATGACAGCGAGACCTTAAGCAATAATGAATATTGGATTGCCGGCCCACAGACAGGGTGACAGTCTGACATCTGGTAGAGGACCGAAGGCCTCAATCACTTTCAGCCAGATGGCCAAAAGTCTCAATCTCTATTGGCTGAAACCGAAAATAAACCGAAACTTCACTTTTCTGTTTCAGCTGAAACCAAAAATAAATAGAAAGTTAACTTATCTGTTTCAGGCAAAAACCAAAAATATGCCAAAATGATCAAATGGCAACCTTTGGCACTGAAATTCAATCAGTCTCTACCATGGAGGGCTCTGGCCTACTCCACCACATTCTTTCAAGGATTTTGTCTTCATGCCCAGACCCCCAATTAGTCTTTACATCATCAATCCATCTCATTTATCAGGCTTGGTTGACTGATGACTCCCTTGGTTTTTGTCTTAACCCCTTTTGCTCTTGCATGTCCAGCACAGTCTGATTTTTATAACTGCCAAGACTATGGTTGGGGTCCGACTATGGTTGGGTCCATACAACTGGTATTTTTGTTTTAGTTGTTTGAATTCTTCATCCATCATTATCCTATACAAATTGATAAGGCTGTCACTGCCCTGTGGGAGATCTTATATTAGTCTCTCGTCTATAGTTATATTTAAGGCATACAAGTAACTAGTTGTCTCGTGCAGAAATACTGATTTTACAGAGTAAAACCCAGACTGATTCTAATGGAAATCAACCTATGCCTGGATATGAAACATACACGGAAGCCAGAAGGAAGCCACAAAAACGTTTAGGAAGAAAAAGAGAGAATGAGTAAAAGCTAAACTAAAAGAAAAAGAAGACTCATCAAGAGAGGGAAACATCAGAGGAATGTATATGAAGATAAAAGATGAAAAGAATGGATTATTATTATTATTATTACAGTGGTCTTATATAGCGGGGTACACCAGCCTAGGGCACTTCACATAAAAATTAGCATGGAGAAAGAAAAAAAAAGGAAAATGACATTAAAAACAGCTTTTTAAAAATATTGACCTCACCCACCCAAGTACTAATTACCCCTGTCTAGCCATGGACAGCACCCAGCAGCATCGAGCATTGTTTATCGGTCAGATAGAGGTGAGAATGAGTTGGAATAGTAGAGTTTGAAGAGTTGTGTCTTGAGTGGAGTTTTGAAGGCTTGGATGGTTGAATACCAAGCCAGCCTCAAATGTGTGAGAGCCAGGATGGAAAATTAATTACGGAAAATAGTGAAGTACTGTAGAGGTGGGCTGAATATTTTAAGGGCATACTAAATAAAGGCAATAAGACAAGGTGCAGATTATCAACCACCACATGGAGGACTGGACCCTTTAACTCTTTCTCTCCAGATAAACACTCCAATTGTCGATTTTAAATTAGGTTTTCTGACGGCTTTACGAACCCATTGTCCATGCATAAAAACCTGTTTCGGTTCTTTTCTAAGCTATTGGTTTTAAAGTACTTTGAATAACATCTAGAATGATTTCCCTTGGATAAACATTAGGATTTTCTTTCATTCGACGAAATACAAAGTGTTTGAAGCAGTTGTTTTGATTTATCAATTTTTTTTTTTTTACAAGCATGAAATCTTGACCTGACCCATTTACGATCAAACTAATAAAGGTTGAAAATATTACTCTGATGACGATTCTAGCAGTGACTTTATGATTTCGAATGCAGATGCTGATCATGATGAATCGTAAAAATTTTAATCCTAGTAGTAGTATTAGTAGTATTAGAGACGAAATAATGAAATGATAATTCATAAGCTGATAAACAACCAGCCCCGCTCCCAGTTAAAGTGCCTTGTAGAAGAGCTAATACTGTTCCTACTATAAATAATGTAGATTCTAATAGGAAAGCTGCTGATCTTAGAACTAAAATTGAGAGCTATTTCAGATTTTTACCTTTGAAAAATGTAGGTATAAATTTGCCGCTTGTATCATTACTAGTAAGCCAAATGACCTTAACTGATTTTTTTACTTTGCTGGAAACAAATAATATTCACAAGTTTGTACTCTCAATAAATGTGTATGCATCCTACAGAATTAAATCAACACTCCAATATGCAAGAGATCTATTTTTAGAGACTGGAAACTTTAATAATTATGAGACCTACAAATTTCTAACAGTAACAACAAAACAATAATGGGGATGAACTCTCATCCATTTGTTCGTGAATTTTGGTCAATGGGATGCAAACATCCTGGTATATCAAAATGTTTCAGAGAGAACAATTCTCTACATGCTACAAACAAAGTGACAAGACTGATACATAGAAGTAACATCAAACAACTCAAAAAGAAAAATCAAGGTTCAGGGAGAATATTTAAGGGAATTTCAGATTAGATGAGGCCTAAGCCTAGAAGACTCACTGTCTTGTATTTGGGTGCTATTTAACCTAACATTAGAGAGTTATAAGAAACATACATATTGACACCTACGATAGACGAATACTTTCTGAGGGAGACCCAAAACCCACAACCAATAGTCACTCTCTGCAATCAACCCCTTCAGTATCTTGCATATGCTGATGATATAGCACTGTTAGGGAAAAGTAATAAGGACATATCAATAGCCTTTATTGAATGAGATGACGCATAACTACAAGCAGGGCTGGAAGTTAACAACCAAAAAACAAAATATGTGACTATGATTAGAGAAAAACAGACAGATGAAACCATTAAAATTAGAAACCACATTTTTAACAAAGTAAATCAATTCAAATAACTAGGATCTTTACTAAATGAAAGAAACAAATAACTAACAGAAATAAAAAAAAAGAATAACGGCTGGAAACAGGGCATACTTCAGTAGTAAGAAAATACTCAAAAGTAAAAATGTTACAAGAAAAACAAAGAAAACTATTTATAAAACTGTAATCAGATCAGTTGTAGCATAGTAGGGACTTTAAAACTCTCACGGACACGCGATCTGCGCATGCCAAAACATGGCGCAAAAACCTTTGTGGTCATTTTACATTCAGCTTGGGGAGGACTTTGTTGTTTTCTAATAATAAATTGTATTGTCATCAGTGACGTAGAGCGCATATTTTTCCAAAGAAAGCGATATCATATTTGCATTATGGTGAATCTTGAGACTGGCAACAATTTATTCTTTTGTATCATTTATTCTTTGTATCGGTATGTACTTTAATAGCTTATTAATTTTTAATGTAAAGTCGTAATACATAGTGGTTTATCGTAATACTGCTTGATAAATTCACAAAGAGAAATAAATTTTTTCGTTAATAGTAGGCTAAGTAGGAATATCAAAATAAAGTCATGCATTTTAAAATTTCGATGAAATTGTCAGTTGTTACAAGTTATCCTCCTTCACAAAAAAAAACAAAAAAACTTGGGTTGTCGGAAATGGCTCTCCTTATCAATTTAATATAAAGATATAAAAAATATTTTTATTATTGTTCATTGTAAAAAATCTATGTAACACTAATCGGTTAATGAATAAGAAACAGTTTTATAATATTATTAGAAATTAATACAACCTAATAAAATAAAGAGTTTTTATTAATTTTTACTTTGTGTATTTGGGTGAATTTTGGACTAGTTTTGTCCCTTGAATAATATAATTATATAATAATATGTGAAGGTATACAGTCAGTCATAGAATCAGTTTACACTAATAATTTTGTGAGTGTATGCCTACACATTTTATCAGTTCTTCTTTATTGACACAATAATAGTTTGATAGTAGCAATAATAATAATTGTGTTTCTGTCATTAGTGACATTACTCATATTATAAGTCGTACAAGTCTAAGAGAATATTATTACTAAAATTAGGCCTAGCCTACATCATGGACTTGGACAAGTATTTAATAATTATAAAAAAATACAGTAAAAGAAATTAATTTTATTAAACAAAAAACTTGAATAATATTTTTAAAAGCAATAAGAAATTGTGTAGATTCAAGATATGATTAGATGTTATTTCTAGGTTTCATTCAGACACAAGAGAACATTTTAATTTTCTCTCAAAGAACTCCTTCCATCAACAAGGAGGCACGTTTGGACACAGTATATAAAATAGAGATTGTGGATTTATCAACACGACTAAGCAGTTTGAAGAGCAGTTTAAATACAAAATGATAGGCAGAACATCCCCATTGTCATTACCTTTTAAATTTGAATCACATACCCCATCGCTGGTATGCTCGTATTAGTCTTTTTGGTGATACAAGTAGTTTATATTTTATAATGTTATGCATTCAACTTTATTGTAAAAAAAGACATCTACTTACCTTTTATAATTCAAATACAATAAACATTTTATTTTTTTGTTTTTTCCTTTACAAATAATAATGTTTTATATTTTTCTGTTCATGTTTTTCGTATCATATCCTCAAATAAAATTATCAAAAATAAAACGTATTTGATGTTATGTAAAAGTTTTGTTGTTTATTGTGTTGTAAATAGCACTGAGAATGTTTCCTGAAAATCTGGAAGCATTATTGTTTAAAATAAAAAAGTTTTTGGCAAAAAAAAAGGCAGATATTTGAAAAGTCAGTCACATGTTTTTGCAGTTAAATACAAAGATAAACAAGGGGGGGGGGGGTTAAAAAAATCACAAAAAAATCATAACTCCACTTCTATAAAAGATAGAAAGGTGAAATTGATGTTTATTATATAAAGCTTATACTTATACTTATAGCTAGCTCTTTAACTCTTTAAAGTGATTTATCATTTATGGCAATTCAAAAGAACAAAATTAAAAATTTCTGTCAAAGTACCTTCATACTTCAGGCCAGGGGCTGTAGTGCCACAGGGGTGGATTGCAACTAGTTATATTTAAATCAAAATTTGACATAATTAGCAATGCAGTTTCTCGAGTACACAATGGCACTATACTGCACTATACTAAATATTTCATATATTTAGAAATTATAATGCTATGGCATGGAAGTGGGCGGGGGGGGGGGGCACCGGGGCAGGAGAGGTAAAGCGGGTTAGTCACCCCGGCCTCGGGTAGAGGGATGTGACCATCATGGCGTCTAACGGCGTTTTCAGTATTATTGGTCTTTTAATATAAAAATCGTGTAGTTATTAAAGAATCAATGAAAACAAAAACATTTTGACTACCTTTGGTTCTGTAAGTTTTCGATATGCCAATGCAGCACTCAAAAGCAGCGTCGTAGTTACCAAAGCAACCGTGCCTGTGCTCACGTCCGCAAAGCCGAGTGAATCCCCTAACTGTTCTAAAGGTGAATCGGCGAACATTTTTAATTCTTAAGCATAAGTTCAATTCAGTCAATAAGTTGTAACAACATCTAACCACACCATCCCTTTAGTCAAAGCAAATGTTACTTGTCTATTAGTATTATCTTGCTATATCCCTGTCAAACTTGCCGGTACCGAATCGTTAACAGACCGGAACAACTTGCGTTAAAAAACAACAGCTGATTAGAAAAAGTAGTTTTACAATAAAACACCAAATCAAGAAGTATTACATATCCATCACAAAATAAACTTAGTGAATTTTAAAGTAAATATATAAACATAATTTACAGAATATATTAATGACATAATAATCAATTATTTTAAAAAATTAGTACGCAGGAATACACATCGGATGATTCTCCTACGCCACATTTCGATTTTCCTCCTCTTTGTATTTAATTTGTTAAAAGGTCTACTTTTCATTAAAACAGCGTTTCTCAATAAATATTCACTGGCACCATATAATTCCGTAAGAAATTGCTAATGGTTCTTTGGGAAATCATCGGTCATTAAAATTAAAGAGAAAGGCATATACTAAAATAATTTGTATTAATTTATATGCAGTTTCTTTTTTTTAAATATATAAATTAATTTAAAGGGCTACGCAATACTCAATAGATTGAGACATGCTGCTTTGAGATAACATGGATGTATGAACTGTATTATTTGTAAACACCTGAATAACATTTCTTAGTTTAGAACAATGATAATAAAAGTGGGTAGGGCTCCCAGGTGTAAGAAATTAGCTGTTTTTTTTATGAAATATTTGCTTATCTTAAAAGATAAAATAATGTTTTAATACAGTAATTAATGTCTCATTAAATTAAAATCATGAAAACAAAACCACCCTACATTGAAACTAAAAAAACATATTTAGACACGCAAGAATAGAAAATGTCTTAAATTTAAATGGAAAAAAAAAAAAAAAGAATAAACGGCAATAAACGAAAGTGTTGTGTCTTTCTAAGTCAGGGGTCGGGAACCTATGGCTCGCGAGTTAGATGTGGCTCTATTGATGGCTGCATCTGGCTCGCAGACAATTGTTCGCTTATAAACAAAAAAATTCTTTAGACTCCTTTGATCTACGTATTAATTGCATATCAATATTTGATTAGCAACAGCATAACAATGACAATGTTATTAAAAAGATTTCAGAGACATAATTATTGCATTTTTTAGTGTTGAATTTACACAAAATGCACACATTTACTTGAATTTTTAGTTTTAAACATAATGTATGGCTCTCACATAATTACTTTTCAAAATATGTGTTGTCCATGGCTCTCTCAGACAAGAAGGTTCCCGACCCCTGTTCTAAGTGCTATCTGTAATCATATCAGTGGCGCCTGTTGCGTTTCTCGATGTTGAAGTTGAACCGTGTTATGCCGCCCTGTACAAGACTTGAAAAATGCTTGGGGCCACCTCCCCATTTTTTCTTCTATCCTGCTCATTTCTTATCACTATTTGATTTAAATTTAATGTTCACACCCTTTTGGCGTCCCTAAAATATTTAAATTAAAGTTTCTGTCCCATAAACTTTTCCACCCTATGCGGCCACCTAGTTTGCTTTATAGTAGAAACGTCCCTGTACCATGCATCAGCATTTCCCAAACTTTTAAGTTTAGGGGATCTAAATGGCAACAAGGACCGGTGCAAAAATGTATTAATTATATTTTCTTTTACCATAAAAAGGACCACCATTTAGGGTAACGCTGCCATACAACATAACTAGGCATATCCTACATGGATAGTTTGACAGCCAAAAGGGGCGTATCGAGGGTGTGGCAAGACACGCCACTTGCCGTGGGCGCCACGTTAAAAGAAAAAAAAGAAAGGGGGAGGGGGCGAAACATCGTCAACCGGACAAAGACATTTCATACATTAATTTTAAAAAATATGCATTAAAGTAAGTTTACCTGTATGTCTATGGAATAAGCTAAAAGCCGTAGAACTAATCTGCTAACTCTTCTACCCGGGTTGGTCCTTGATCTTGTCACCCCTCTACAGTGGCGTAGCTAGGGGAGGGGGAGGGGGTTCAAATTCGAAAATCTCCCCGGGCCCCTACTTGAGGGGGCCCCCAAAGAAGTGTCCGAAATTTTTTTTACATTAAATAATGTCGAATGTCAAAATGCAGGGGTCCCTAAAGAGGCCAAGTCCCCGGGGCCCCCAAATCCCTAGCTACGCCACTGCCCCTCTATGTAAACTATTGGCATCTCAGAGAGTTCATACACTATATTCGTTTAACACGGCCATTACCATGGATTCATCTAATGCTACCAGTGTTGTAAGTTAACAATTTCACATGTACACTTATTGGTAGTTCTTTATTTCTACATATTTTTTTGTAAATTTAAAAAAAAAAAATTATTTATTTCTGTTTGAAAGTTAGACAAAAGATTTTCTCTCTCCTCGTGTATCTGAAAATTATTATTTCTGCCATTTGTCTATTTTGATGCCAACAATCAAAACAGTTTATTAATGTACAAAGCTAAAGTAAACAAATAAATAAATAATTTTAAAAAAAACATTAGGCTCGCACTGAGAACCATCGAGTGACTGAATTTTTACAAGTTTCGAATTTAAAGGCGGAGAGTTATCTACCATCACCCGCTACAAAATTGGCTACTAAAAATTCTAAAAATAGACATTTGTTAGAAATTTAACGTATACTTTCTATTTGCCTCAAAACATGTTTTAAAATGTTTAACAAATAGTTAACTTGTATCTTAATTTAATATTAAACGAAATCTGTCTTACGACAAAGTGTAACATCACTACCCCAACCATCATGATGGTTTCTTCAAACCAGTAATGTACAGCAGAGGCGTAGCGAGGGTGTTTGGCGCCCGGGGACAAGATTCGCACCCGGGGACAAGATCCATTTTAAAGCGCCCCTTTTTCTTTTTTTTGAACTCTCAAACCCATTATTTTCATCAATAAAATAATATCAAAGCACATTTGGCGCCCCTAACTAGCTGGCGCCCGGGGACATCTGCCCCCCTCGCTACGCCTCTGATGTACAGTCGCAGAATATATCAACTTTAAGTAACACCACTTGCACTGTTTAACAACCCTTCCATTTTTTGACCAGTCAACCAAAGAATAGCAAACAACGTAAACAGATGGCCTCATTGTCACATCTTGAAATGTTGATCTCATGACGTTGCGGCCGAATCCAGTCCTCCCAATGTAAGATTTGCGTTAACATGACAGCTAAAGCCGAGACCAAGGTACACTTTACGCACTGCTGCGTGGAATTTTTCACGTCCATACGTTGGACATAGATAATAAATTAAGGAAATAGAACAATTTAGTGAACATTCTTGAAATTTAAAAAAAACAAAAACAAAACAATTATGCTTGTGATGACCAGGTGAAGGTCAGAGGCGTTAAAATAAAATTAAACACTATATCAGTTTTAGTTAAATATATTTGGCTTCAGATACAATTGTCTGGAGCTAATCATAGTGAGACTATGTTTATGGCCCATACCAGTAATCCCAGCGTGTCGTGCTATGCCTGTGTTGGAGCACAGAGCTATACTATATCTCTAAGTATATGGGGTTGGAGTGACTCCTGTATGCAATATGGGATACATGGAGTCAATGACGTAACATTGTCTCTAACTCGACAGACATGGTGTCTATAATTATAAAAGTACATGTCTCTGTTGTCATCCGTGTTGGGCTTTTAAAAAAGAATTTAAAAAATGGCGTTTTGAAGTCAATTAAGTCTCTGAAAAGTTTCAATTATTTCAAGACCAAAAAAAATAAAACAAGTCCAAAACCCAAGACATGTTTGGAAACAGCAGAAGTATTTAAAGGTAAGGAAAAAAAAATAAATAAAGTTACCCCCCCCCCCCTTGTTATGTCTGTACGACCTGTATTTATTTTAACTTTATTTTGAAAGATTTTCTCAGAAAATGTTAGTGTCCCCGTACTTGTCTCTAATGTTAAATACTAGCTGAACCACCCGGCGTTGGTAAATAACCCCCCCCCCCAACCCGTACCAGCCTAATTATCTTCTGACATAAAGGTCACAGACTTCAATTTAGAAATAACTTTAAGAGTTTTCATAATTCGTTAACCTGATCAACTCTAAATGCACAGAAACAGAGGCGTAACGAGGGTGTTTGGCACCCGGGGACAATATTCGCGCCCGGGGACAAGATCCATTTTAAAGCGCCCCTTTTTCTTTTTTTCAACTCTCAAACCCATTATTTTCATCAATAAACTAATATCAAAGCACATTTTGGCGCCCCTAACTAGCTGGCGCCCGGGGACATTTGTCCCCCCTGCCCACCCCCCTTCCCCACCCACCGCTACGTCTCTGCACAGAAATAGTAATAATTTGTTACAAGTAATGCGTACAATTATCAGCCAACATTACAGAGGATTAATGTTTGCAACTCTAATCATAAGGTGGGTTTGGGGGGGGGGTAGGATGGGGGAAATGTTTTGAAATCGAGAGGTGGTGCAGTGCTGCAAAATGTTAAGAACCCTTGCTATGATAGATCAAAATATAACGCGAGCCTAAGCTATGTACCAAATCTTTGTTTATCCGGAGTAGCTGAAACTGAAACTAGACATTGGTGGCCCGGTGAGGTCAAAAACAATAATCCTTGACCACGCCAACCGAGCATCGCTTATAGAATGTAACAAACACAAATATTTCGTGTGTGTGTTTGTGTGTGTCACACAGCTTTCTTTGAATTAACTCTAAATGTAAGCATTTTACCTTTGTTAGAATTGTAAAATGTAATGAAATAACTTTACCGCAACGACAATTAAATAAGATCACATGAACTCCCACCTGGCCCACCTCCCAGTAGAAATGTTTGAGCCGTGACAAGACTAGAACCGTAGGAGAAAAGGTGGAGATAACCCATCGGGACAGGAAAGACAAAGGCCCGTCACCGTTGCTTAATCCCCATTCATCATTTCATAAGGAGTGAATAGGCTACTCCCAGGTATAGCCCGCCCAACAGCACAGAGCACGCTCTTCATACACACGGAGGATGTGGCACGGGCAGTGATAAAATAACTTAATTTTTCACCAGTGGAACATTTCTAAGATAGGACTTTAAAAAAAAAAAAACAACACCACCAGACATAGTGACTTCAACTAAGCGTATTGTGTTTTATCTGAG